GCGGACGATATTGTCGTACTGTGCGATAATGCCCAAGGCATGCAATCCGCACTTAATCAGTTGGCAATCAGTGTCCGTAGGTATGGTATGTGCTTTGCACCTTCGAAGTGCAAAGTACTTCTACAAGACTGGCAGGATTCCAATCATGTACTCACCCTGGATGGTGAGCAGATAGAAGTAGTCGAGAAGTTCGTGTATCTGGGTAGCTGCATAAGTGCTGGTGGGGGTGTGGGTGATGAGATCAATGCACGTATAGTGAAAGCCAGAGCGGCTTATGCCAATCTGGGCCACCTTTGGCGCCTTCGTGATGTTAGTCTGGCTGTAAAAGGTCGGATCAACAACGAGTCGGTGAGAGCAGTTTTGCTCTATGCTTGTGAAACCTGGCCTCTCCGAGTTGAGGACGTTAGACGACTCTCTGTGTTCGATCATCGCTGTCTCCGAAGGATTGCTGACATTCAGTTGCAACACCATGTCAGTAATGCAGAGGTTCGGCATCGTGTGTTTGGGCACAAAGATGATAATTCAATTGGTGTCACCATCTTGAAACACCGACTTCGATGGCTTGGACATGTTCTACGAATGTCGTCTCAGAGAATTCCACGTCGTGCATTATTTACCGACTCTGGGACTGGTTGGAAGAAGCGGAGAGGTGGTCAGTGCATGACATGGTGTCGTGGTATGAAAGAAAGCTGCAAAGGACTGGCTTCTGTCGGTCCTTCACGACTACCTGGTTGGGGTCTGAGAGATGGTGCAATACAGTGGCTAGAGACGTTATCAGATATGACTCAGAATAAAAGCCAGTGGCGATCCTGCTGTAACCTTCTTTTACTTTCTTCATAAAAAGTGGTTGTGTCTCCCTTACTTGAAAGATTTCTTCTGATTGTACCTTTCCGTTCCATCGTTACGACCACACTACCTCTTTTTCTTTTGTGCTCCTTAGTTTTTTTTCTATCTCTCTTCGAATTTTCATTGTTTTGTGTGGCGCATATATATTGGCGCTCTCTTGTACCAATATTTATGTGTTCAAATAAATAAAATAAAATAATAAGTTTCATTCCTCCTAATGTGGAGTATGGAAATATAGTGTCTTACTCTCAACTCCAAAAGGATTAAGACACATTGGAACTTTAAATATCTTAAACACATCTTAACATTCCATAAGCACCTACTTAAGCTCAGTGACAACACAAAGCTTGTGGATAACGCTGAGAAACTGGAGACACAACAAAGCAGAACGGACTGTGGATGCACCTTTCAGCCTTTGGGAGTAGTCGGATGTTGAAATTTCCTGCTGGACGAGCTAGTTCGAACGACTTCCCAGGAGTTGTTAAATATCTTGTTATATATATATATATATATATATATATATATATATATATATATATATATATATATATATATATATATATATATATATAGTTAAATATACCCAATTTTCAACGTGTAGGCATAGGTGACCTACTATCAATAAATGTGTAAACCCGTGAAGCGAAAGCTTCCGTCCAGAACCATTTGAATGGAAAATGATGAAGAAATTAATCCAGCTCACATGAAATAACATAATACGAATATTAATCATTTGAAGCACAACCTAAACACAGAGCGGAACATGGCATTAAAATTAACTTACAAGTAATTCCGAGAATGAAAAACCGCTTCGTTAGTGCACGGGTCGGATTGGTTACCAAGATAATTGGCGGAAAATATGTGAATTCACCTTGAGTGCATCGTAATGTCTCTGAGACCTCGCGCAGTATATGAAGTAAAGGTAAGGTTAGTGTTGCAGAACTATGAATTTTAATAGCGATTGACAAGTGTGTTTTGAAATGCATAATCATCTTAATATTTTCGATTATACGAAATTTATCACAATAGGTGTGAGTACAAGAATATCCTTGTAGTTTGATATAATAATTACGAATGTCATATTATTAACTGTATCATACTTCAGGTAAAGGCAAAATCAGCCCATTACAGATCAAGATACTTTGCTTTCTTATGTTATATTTACATATAAATGTTCATAAGTTCAAAGTTAATGATTTGAAAAATTTGGGCATTACATATGTATATGTATATAAATGATACTTATTATTATTCCAAACTTCAAATGGGTGAAAGACGAAATTGTCTTTACTGACGTTTTGTTCACCATCATCAGTTCATAGTATCACTTGTCTCTAGCTGTTTAAGTAGGGTACACATGATGGTAATAAGTGAAAAAGAATAAAAGAAAAACTAAAATTCTTAAAATAAATAACTACACGAAGACTTTTGCCCAGAAAACAAAGGACAATATTAAACATGATCGAAAAATCACTATAATTCTAAACCACAACAGTTGTCATTCTATAAAGATCACATACATCAGATGAGATCAAAAGAATGCTCAACAAGTGTAACGCTATTGTATTTAGGATATCAGGTACACCAAAAACAATCTAGTTCATATAAAAGATAAAATGCAGGGGGATTTACAATTTAACTTTGCATATAAAATAAAATGTCCAAACCGCGACTTAGTATGAATCTGACAAACTTCTGATATGATCAAAACAACATCTTTGAGCTTCTGTCCAAAGATAAAAAAACCTAGTGGAACATGAAGGATAATATACTAAAGATCTGTAGGTTATAATGTCAGGCCATAAGGCTGATTTGGACAATACTGAAATCGATCGGAGGGACTTCGAAAACCATAAGCAACTCGTAGTGTAAAAGTTTCACAGTTCATGAAATTCAAATTGTTCGAATAGAAATAAGAAACTAGACTCCAACATTGTCAATACAAATTTGAAAATTTTTTTTATCACGTTAACATATTGTTTCCAGACTTTACACACTTATTAAATTTTTAAAAAATTACACTTATCTGTTGCCTTTATTGACTCATTTAATCGACAACGCAGAATAAACCATACAGAATAACTTTGACAGAGTTACTATATAAAGTCGGAGAGTCTTGTGAATTTTAATTTACCACTAATTTGATTAAGCTCTTTTTATCAAATAGTGTGATGCCAATGAAAAGAATTCTGCCTTGTTTTTCACTGACTAAGAAAATGCATATTTCTAATAAATACAACGTATGTACTTCGAAAGTTATTAACGTAAAGTCTCATCATTCCGAAATACGTAAGATTAGTTACCGTTTATTATCAATATGAGAACAAGATATGAGGTACAAAGTCGAGTATGACCACAACTAGCAAGATTATCAGCTAACGATAGCTACTAAAGTAACTGGGGTTTAGTTGCCGAGTTTCGATGAACGCAATGACCAGACTAAATCATACTTAAAACGACCCCCAAGATACAATAAACTCTCATAATTATATTGTCTGTCGAAAGAAAACTTATCATCATAATATCTTCGAGACATTGTACTTGAATGATATGAACTATACCGTAATAATAACTTTTTAATGAGGATCTCTGTGTGTTCAATATCCAAGCATACTCCGTCGTCGAAATTATCTGAATGATATAACGCATATGATCGATTAGACAAAATAGAGTTAGAATGCACCACCTAGAGCTAAACAATACTTGTCTTGCAACTACCTAATAACTAGCTTGTTGTTTCTTGTATTTCAGTGAGAATTTGTACATACAAACGAGATACAGATGGACAGTAAATTGTGTAGTACATATTGCTTTAATAATGGAGAATGTACTTTATGTCCAGAACAAGATCCTTTAATCGAGACAAAATGTCTAAGATGCAAATGTACAAGACAATGGGCAGGAGATAGATGTGAAAGACAAATAAGATTTTTACCTATATCTCTAAAGGAAAAACCTCAAGAAATACCAGTCGGTATCATGATCGGCCTATTCATCACATGTATAATGCTACTGATCATTTTTGTTATGATCAAGTATAAAGTCATAGGAAATTTGTGGACAAAAATAAAACTATACTACTCAAGAAACAGTCCTATTAAGAAAGATTCAACATCTTTTTCTTATGTAAATTATGTGAATGATGACATCGTAATTATTTGAATATTTTCTTTTAACCCGAAATGGTATCATTTAACTGATGATTTCTTCTTTTCATATACTCCCAGTATTTTATCGACTTGTGAGCATTATGAAAATAGATAGTACGGCATTTTGAAATTGTTTTATCAAAGTCTTTATGAATCAGCAATTTAGACAGTTCTGAAGTGTGTGAAATGTCATATTATGATGGTAATATATCGGTTTTCTACAACCTGTTCCTAAAGTTATAGGGATCTTCACCCTTGAAAAAGACTGATCTGTATCCTAAACCATCATACCAATTTCACATGATTATTCAATGGACAAAACATCTGATTAGTAGATATAAACGCTCAACGACTAACTCGACAGGTTTGTTCAAATTCATAGCAGATCATATACTGCAATTACGAAACATGAAATTACTCATAATCGAAACTTTATGAATGATTTCCTATGTACTTGTAGATTGGTAAGCATAGTAATTATCATATAATTATTGTGTTATGGGTTCGATCTGAATCCAATTAAAGGATTTGTAAAAGCGGAGCTATGGGTCACCGGTTTCTGAATTAACTGTTGGTAGTTGATGGGAGGTGGTTGTTAATTAAATGGATATTGAACTATAACTTTAGTTGATAAATACAAAGTTTCCTAGATATGAGAGTTCATTACTATTCCCACCCATTTTCGTAAACAAAACAAGTGAATAAACTGCAACTTGGCTATCATGTACACTTCCATGAAATGGAGTATAAGTTGAGTATATTAAGAATTGTGAATCTACAATTACAGAACATAAATCATTCGATGGCTTTATAAATTGTGCGATGAAGTGTTTAATATATATTAAAATATTTGTTTTTCATCAGAGTATGGTTTGGTTCTTATTTTCAAGAAGTCTATCTATGGATTATTGATTTGTGCGAACTAAGGCCTGAAAAGTGATGATACTACCAAGGCAACTGTAACCCTGCATGTTTTTATGCTTATGAACAAAATAAAACTACACTGATTAGAAGAAATCAGTAATGTATTCAAAAAATATTGTAAATCAAAGTGTATTGTAAATAAACAGATATCAATGTGCTATGATGTATTATTATAATTATTATGATTGTAGTATGAAATCAATAAGTAGTAAAGAAAAGTAAAGAAAATAACAAACAAAAAAATTCAGCATAAATTTTCTTAATTATTTTTTTCTTATCAAATCTTGACAACAACCATAGTGTTCTAATTCATCGCTTGTTGGTTGTCTAACAAAAGCACTATTACCAATACGTCGACGACATATTCGACAACGTGTAGACGATAAAATTGAAAAATGATTATTTGTAACTTTTATACGATCTGTACATGATGCGATTAATTCGGATTTTGCAGCATTTTCAAGAAAAACTAATTGATTCAATGTACTCTCTTGAGATATGAACATGTCCTAGATGTATCATAAAAAAGAACAGGGACAAAAAGTAAACGCTTAGTTTTAAAATTTTATAAATCAGAACAACAGCACAGATATCGAAGAACAATATAATAAAAACCCATATATTTTGAGCACCGATAATGATATAGGTGGGTTAGGGATTTTTTTCTACCTCTATAGTTTGAGTAATGATTATTTTTTCGGCTAAAAACTAGGCCATATAGAGATGTTCACCAAATTTACGATAACAATAGAAGTTGATTGATAATAAGGACTGAAAAGTATAGCGTTGATTACTGTCTGATAACTGATTAATATAATCAATTCGGTTCTGATGAAGTTAAGTTACAGCTAACAGCTTGGCGAACTCCTTACGTAAAAAACGTTACGCAGACCTAGGAATCAAATTTGTAAAACTAAGTTTGGTATTTAGAATGAGTGAAAAAAATCACTTGAAACACAGGAAGAGACAATCCATGAATTAGATAAAGCTAGGTTGGGTAGTCGACTGATTCTGATACTGACCTGGAAATTTCCTATATATGAGCTCAAACTGGAACTTTAATGAGAAATCAAGTAACGAATTGAGAGTTGTATTGGTTAATCTGATCATTTATGTACTTTACTTACTTGCTCCTGTTACTCGCAATGGATCATAGGCCGCCGACCAGCATTCTCCAACCCACTCTGTCCAGGGCCTTCTATTCTAGTTCCATCCAATTCTTGTTCATTTTTCTCATGTCTATTTCCATTTCCAGGCGTAATGTGTTCTTTGGTCTTCCTCTTTTCCTTTGGCCTTGAGGATTCCATGTGAGGACTTGTCTTGTGATGCAGTCGGGTGATTTCCTCAATGTGTGTCCTATCCACTTCCAGCGCTTCTTCCTGATTTCTTCCTCCGCCGGGATCTGGTTTGTTCTCTTCCACAGTAGGTCGTTGCTAATAGTGTCCGGTCTTGTAAATCAATAAATGTCGCATTTCTTAGAACTAAAAATGCAGCTAATCATTTGACAGGGCTGAACTTAGAAGCTGTTTATTAGACAGTATCCTTGTTTGGTAAATTGATGTTTATAAAGTCCTTTACACAAACGTCTAATTTAGTGAGATATAGTACAAACACCTTTATGCATTGTTAATATAGAATATATTGTGCACGATCGAAGTGTAATACACATTTAGTTACCCATCAGAAGCCTACCTATATATCAATTATTAAAATGTTGGAAATTTCCGAGTACTTTATATATCTCGGTAGTTGTTTGAATGTTGTTAAAATTAAAAGGAATAAATCATAAAAGCAATCGCTTTTTTGTCAAACATAAGCCCTATCTAAACAAGCTTACAGTGTAAAGTAATTTAAGATTTACCAACATAAAACCTGCAATAGAATTACTAGTTAAGCATAATGTATAAAATTATTGATAATTTTGCATACCTTTAAGTAGTTCCCAACAGAACTCAAAGCAACGGTAGGTATGATTCGTATCACTTTGACGGGATCTATAAGTGTACTATATTGGTGAAGGACTTCAAGTGCTTTCTTTGGTTTCGGAGTAAATGATGTAGATTTGTTGGGAGATGCTAACAAAATACATACAATTAATTATTTAAGATACTAAATGTGAAATACACCATTTTAGACCAATAATTCAACTGGAAATGAAAAATACATGCACTAATAATAATAACAGCACTATTCGCTAGTGTTTATTGCTTAAGTATCTTATCAGTATAGGGTTGTTAAGATTGTTGAGTTTTAACTGAGATCCTGAACTGATCAATGTTAAATCACCATCGATAAGTATCTTATTTTGAATAACAACCATTTACTCTAAAGCAACGTACAACCTGACATATGTAAATCAGTTTGAAGTGTCACACCACATAGTCACAGAGAAATGGAATTATCAAATGAAAAACAAATAATAATATCACTTAAAGGAAGAAATTGAGCAACGGAATAAAAGATGTACGGTCATTTTCAAGCTTAGAATCGAGTGGAAGTCAAAGCATGAATATGTCTGTGCCACTACGAACGATTCTGAGCCATACGATCCAAAGACGCCAATTATTAGTTGTGATAAACATGCGGACTCAAACACAGTAGTTATTGTATATACCAACAACCAATAGCTAAATATATATTAGAATAGAAATTGTAGAATTTTATCAGTCACCAGTTATCTATTAACTGTTTTTTAATAGGACAAAACAAACAGCTCCTTTAAATCAAGAACAAAACAACAAACTTACAAGGTAGAACGATGCCCAAAGAAGCAGGTTCGGTAGGATGTAAACAAATTTGTATAAGTAGAAAAAATATATCACAATCATTATTGATCAGTGTTTCATTATGATGTTTACTGCTAACATTAATATTGTTGTCTATGAATGGTGAATTGGCCAATGAAGGAGAATTTCGGATATTATGTGCATGTGATAAAGATTTCTTGTCGATTATAGCACTACCACTACCATCACTATTACCGTCACAGGCGCCAACACAATCTGTATGAACAATATCCGTATCTACATGTTCAACATTATTCAAATGATGTTCACCTTTTTGATAAACATTAATACAATGAGTTACAGCTCTATTCCAATCATTTAGTAAATGAACCCAAAGTGAAAGAGCCTAGAAAAATTATTATAAATATAAAATATGTAAGTTAGGTACGACTAAAAAATGCCTAGTTTGATTTGTATCATATCTTTTATTAGAATATAATATGATTAAATATTTGTATACTTGATCATTTGCAGTACCAACTCCGAAGTTATACTAAAGTTTTCCGACTATTTAGGAATATTCGATTATTATCTGATAGTCGATTAGTGTCATAACCATAAAACTGTTTCTGCTAAAACTTACAATATGGATAACTAAATCACTATAAGCAAAGATGGGTGGTGGCTGGCAATGGAATCCAGGACGCGCACTTCGTCATATTTGGGACTCGTCAGCTGGACGCACCCGCATCCCAAAGTTGATGTTCACTCTGGGACTTGAGCCGAGTGCCGTTCATTTCAAACACCATCGCGCTATCCACTCAGCTACTGAGTCTTGATAACCACTTGCTTGTGCAATGAGGTGTACTTTAAATTCACCTGGTATGGAGCGAACGGTACTAGGTTCGAGTCCCAAAGTGAACACTAACCCTGACATGCAGGTACATCCAGCTGACGAGTCCTAAATGGAACGAAACGCGCGTCCTGGATTCCACATTCAACATCCATCTCTGCTTGTAATGCTTGTGAACTAAGGCAATATGCACAGTATGTGCATATGTTAATATGAGACTGATCAATTGCAGTCCTAAAATTCAATGGGAAGGTTCAAGTAAAACAATGCCAAATGAATTAAAATAACTAAATCGCTTTAAAAGTTTACATTATGAACTGACCTTCGTTAGACAACAAGGAAGCACTAGACAGCTGTTTAGTCCTAGTATAGGACTCCTTAGCGGTGCACATCAATGACTCCACTGGAAAGGGAGCATTTGACCTTTAGACCACTATGAGTCAGTATCCAACCGTTCTCATTTAAACACAGGGTTAACAATCGCGTCTCATAGAAAATAACTTCGCTGCAAAATATCTAGCAAATTCAAACGCTGTCCTGAGAGTCGGACGGTCCGAATATAGAAGAAATAAGATACCTTACAGTAAAAGGTGAAATTCTTCGTAAGTCACGAAGCTGATGGCTATTTTGACAACCAGAGGAACAATTAATATCGGTACATGGAATGTACGGATAATATGGTAGATCGGGAGGGCTCTTTCACATAAAGCAATGCTTTATTAACCTATAAATATCAAGAATAACATATTTATAGTTTCGCCACTTGAATATGTTATGAATACAAACTTCTTTATATTGCCAAGTAATAAAGAGCACAGGTTCGACTAATTAGAAGTTTAGCTATTTGACCAATGATCTTTGCTTTAACCAATGACAAAACTGACTATCCACAATGACCAGAATCTTAATTTCTATTGACCCAATGCAATACTTTTCATTTTCAAATAGACAGTTAGCTAGCTGATAAACATCAAATTGTTTTTTTCTGACTCAAAACCAATATTAACGCGTCACACGCAAGGAATCTTGTTCTATGCATAAGTGGATTGTAAGTGATACAAAACGGAGTGATAGGTGAATAAATATTTAATCGCAATTTCAGTAAGATTAATAAGTTAAGTAAAATGTTATTACTAAAACAGTATGGAGTCACTATAGACCAATTATTGAATAATTATATATTGAGAATAGATAGAATAATTAACAGTCTAATAATTTCGTAAGTTTAATCTTTCTTAGATATGAATAAAAAATTAATCAGGACAGGATAATCTACATAACATACTTGTTCATGTTTATTTAACTTAGCCAACAGGAAAGCACGTTCCTCAAAAAATGCATCATAAGGACATTTAGCTAATAGTCGACTAAAAGAATAGTTTGCACCAGGATGTATGAGAAAACGCATAAGACGTAGACGTAACCGTGCAACAGCTCCAGACTTCGGTTGTTCATCATTAACTTTAAATGCAAATGGTTTATTAGTTGGTTGTAATGATTGTGCTCTACGTCTAGGAAAGAAAAAACGACAACAAAAATGTAAGTAATTACTAAATGAATTGTAAAATGTAAATTTTTGATAGTATTTATTGCATGGGAACCCAACGTACTACTTGAAATGAATCAAATCAGATGAGACAGGAATCAAAACAGTGACTTCATAAGCAAAGTGAATGTTCGAAATATTGATTTACAGTTTTACAGAATCATGTTTATATGTTAATGAAAATCAAACAGATCATACAATGGTAGTGAATGGGGACATTTTTGCCACTTGTAAATACATATGGGTTGTAACGATCGTTAATTGAGTTTTTCACGACGTGCATAGAAGCTGAACTGGAAGGTAAATCATAACATATGCTTAGATAATTGTTACTTCTAATTAGATTCAAAGTTTAAAAGAGCTTCATAATTGCCTTTGAAGCATCCAGCATCGAATTGTATCCAAACGGTACAAAACTACTTAACATTTAGTCAATCCGTAGAGACTGATCATCCCTGAACTTCTAGAACATACAAACGTCATTATTTACTGAGAGACTGTTTGAAGATGAAGGGTCAAAATAATTGTGCTGTTAAAAATATTCTGTAATTAAATCAATTTAAGTCTATCATGAGAGACTCTGAATTCGAATTCCAAGGTTAGGAGTATTTATTTGGAACTTCAGACAATCCGAGCTAACGAATATCACCTAGCATGAGACAGTTTCATAACTTTCTGTCGATTTCCTTGGACAATTTAGCACTAATCTATTGATCCTTACTCATCATATGACAAACGCACGCACACAAACTAATGAAGCAGAGAAATATTTATACTAACTTACATCAATGCTACTGCGTAGCGTGTATGTATATCACATACATCAATATAAGAGGGATATTGTGGAATAGGGGGTAAAATATCTGGATCACAGATTTTTGAAGAATTGTCATCTTTAAATGAACTATTCACAAGTGAATTAATTAGTCGCGAGCGTTTAAAACCACCTTGATCAGGTAAAGGCCATAATGAATTTGTTAGCATATCTCTAAACCGATTAGAACGCTTTAAAAATAAAGGAAAAACAAGCAATTGAAAGAAATTATTTGAAAGAAGAAATGAAGAAGATAGTTATATGTTTATATGAGAATATATATATCGTCTTGGAATCAACAACAATAACAGACATATCATCAATGATTAATTACATGTAAAAACTAATTAATATAATCAAGTTGAACTAATGCGATTGAACAAAAAAGTTCGAAAATTCCCCACAAGTAGGACAAATACAAAGATGTAATGAATATTCAATGGTTTGTAGGCTCTCTTACTATTTTGATTGATGTTAGTTAGTTGCAAACACGAAATCTTTCAGATGAGAAAAAACAAACATGTGTATAGATTATGAATGAAGTGAGCAAAGTAAGGTGGTTGAAGGTAGACAGTTTCAGACGTTACCACTGATTGATTCGCGGAGCAAGTGATCTCCTATAGGACAAAGGTGTTCACACTGATTAATCACTGAGTATTGGCCAATATCATATTTGTTTACTCCATAATACTGATCAAATTACATCGATCATGAATAAAAAGTAATAAGTGAGGCAATAACGTCTTAGTAGTTTATCAGTGAGACACCATCACAGAGGTTTATTAGTGTATGCTGTGTTTATTTGATAAAGACAAACTATGTTGAATTAAAATATAATAGTAAACCTGTAGGAAGACTAAGAATTGCAGCTAGAAAATGGAAAGAACTTATATAGTTACCTGTTTTAACATAACAAAAGTGTATAAGTCTATTAATACACAAAGTATTGATATATGGATGATTCAAAGCTTGGCTTTGAAATGAAATCTAAACTAATTGATGAGAGCTGTGTTGTTTTTCAGTTTGTGAATCCCGATTTTTAGAATACATTTATAACTTACAGTTTATTGATTATCAGTATTACTGAATCATAATTCTATACTGATCATAGTTAAGCTCTTTGAAGTAGTGATTCTTTTTTTCAGCAAATTAACATACTTAAGCTGATGAATATATTTTTCAAAAAGACAAATATAAATTGAAAGTCATAATAAAAGAGTAGGGGGAGATAAGTCAAACAGTTTAGCGTAAAGTTGTCTAGTGTGATACATATTTTTATGTAAGGACATTCTGAAGCAAAGAAACACTTTTTTCTTTAATTCATTAATTGTTAATTTAACCACATACAAACAAAATAAATCGTTATTAACCCCTTTGTAGTTAAATAAAGAAAGGAAATTGCAGTTCATGCCCATCGATACTCACAAAGGAGGTAGATTTGAGGTGTGTGAAGAGAAACTGTTAGTTGTTTATAGATTCTAACTTATGTCATTCAATATTAAAATAATAGATATTACTTATGAACTAGTAGAATCAAGATCGACACTTTGTTGGAATGAAATTACTCAGAAGCATTGGTCACTTGAAGGTAAGAATTAACTGTGCAATATCATTTCACTTAAATTAATATACGAGTAACAATGTTGAGAATGGGTTCCCATCTACAGAGCTACTTAAACAAATCACAAACTGGGATACACAGCTTACATGGTTATACCTGTATCCTCGGGAATGATAGTGAGTGGTGATCGAATTAATATCTAACATGTTCCGGCTCTTCATTATTAGACAAATGATCAATCGTTACACTTAAACAAGGATAATGAATCTATCATCATCAGAGACATGAAAATCTAAATTTTATATCCGATTGTGAAGGGAAAAAAACATGATATAACCAATTATTGTTTAAAGGGTAGTAGACAAATTAACATACTTTTCCTGGAGACATAGATCCAGATTGCATTGAATCCAAGGATGATCCACATGACAATTGTGAAACAGTTAGTATTTTAGATTTTAAAACATTACAAGGACTAGATCTATTCAATTTATGATCAAAGTTTCTTGGTGTACTTTGCTTTAATTCAGTATGATTATAATCCAAATGAGTAGCGTTAGATTTTGACTTCTCAATGACTTTCTCTAATTTCTGGTGATCATCAGTGTTAGAATCACTCTGATTATCAGATTCATATTCTTTGGTTTTAATTTCATTACTATCTCCTTCTTCTTCTTCATCTTCTTCATGACCGATTTGTTCTTCTGATTCGCCTTCATCTACTATTTCATTATCTTCAGTTACATCTTCATCTTCATCATAATAGTCATCGTCGTCAATATCAACATTATGCTGAACATTCCAATGTACAAATATAATTAATTCTAAATAAGGAATAATTAAATGTGAAGCATATTGTTCCATATAATGTAATATTTGATTTCGATAATTCGAACAAAATGCTGTGAATTGATCTGATTAAATAAAATGAAATAATAATAATAATATCAAATAGAAAAGTACAAAACTAATAACTATGGTACACTTAATGAGTTAAATGAAAAGAATATGACTATACTATTAGTAATAATAGTCAAAATTACATTTTAATTAGAAAATTTATTAAATGGTTATTAACAACATCTATTACAGGGGAATGTATATATCATACTTAGTAATTACAAAGGAATAGTGAATTTTAATTTGATTCTTTCCAAAATTTGACTTTAATTGAACTTGGCAGTGTAAATCAAAATGTGGAATTAGTTTATTAAGCTAATGATTATTGATTTCGACTGCACATGTAAAAGCAGATTATCTGATAGATTTGAGTAAATTAATCACAATCAATGATTAGAAACTGAATGATATGACTCAGAATCATTCACAATGGCCCAGATATATCCACTCTTTATCTTCCCAATCATGAATTTTAGTATTTTTTTATACATACCTCACCACTTTGTCTTCTTAAATCATATTTACAATGTTTAGCCCTTCTCATTGTCACCACTACTACATCATTCCAACCGCCTTTACTATTCATTTTGCTAATTTTATTTTATTGTGCTAATACAGTGTGTAAATTCTACTCAAGTTTCACGAAGGCTGGTTTGATACCTGGTCGAACAGTCATAAAAATACATTCTACGAGACATCTCATCTATCAACACATATGCATATTCATAAAAGTGAGATCTTTTACTAAAAAAGGATATTGGTAAATCGCTTGGATATAATTAGTAACAGGTTCACAAATAAAAAATAACTATTTTCTAAATCGTACAAGGTATAATACTAATAACAGAAACGTTCAGATAACAAGCTAGTTGAAGAAAACGTCAATAATATAACAGATAACGAGCTTGATAGTATCGAGAATTCTATACTTTTAAGGAGACACCAAAAAGTGAAACAGTTCACATTGATTCTCGAATGCTGATCAAATATGTATATGTCTAATAAACAATTATATATATATATATATATATATATATATATATATATATATATATATATATATATATATATATATATATATCATTTTAAAACAGGAGCTAGCTGATTAATCAGTATTAATAGAATCCACGCAAGTTTATATTCTACTAACTAAATTTCCAGCTTTTAGTAGGTTTTTATTCTTTTAAACACGTACACATTTGTATGAAAGGGGGTCGAAAAATATGTGCCATACAAATAATTGAATTTGTGTTTGCGTTGGGAAACTACCCGGGTGACCAAATAGAAGCAGGTGGTCTTCTAAGGGGATCACTCCTCTACCCTTTGATATAACGGTCTAAGCCATAAGGTAGTAGAGCAACGTTAGATGATGCAGTTCCATGGTAGCCGATTTATTTATTATTTATTTCAACACATAGATATTGGTACAAAGAGACACCAAATACATATGCGCCACACAAATCTCATTCGATATGTATGAGGGTTGTGATACTGCCCGGGTGCCCAAACCGAAACAGGTGGTTTTCTTAGGAGGCCACTCCCCGAGCCTTCGACCTAAAGGTCTAACTCACAAGGCAGCGGATCATCGTAAGGAGATACAGTCCCATGGAAGCCAGTGACCAACAATTGGTTCATACGTCATTTGTTCCTTCAGGATACTGGAGCCCATGTGCACCATTGGTTTGGAATCTGGTTAAAGCGACGGGCGTTCGCTTTTCGTTCTCTTATTCTCGTAAACAACACCCCCGCCACGAGAAGGCAGTGAGTAGAACTTCCTTGGGAGAGCCTATACCATTAATCTATTTTCATGAGTTCTAATCACTATTTTAATGTTCCGGAACTTTCCCTCTCGAACTTTGTTTATTCGAGACAAAATTTTATGACCTCATTAACTCTACCGGGATCTTCGCTACATCATGATACATATATTCATCTTTAATCACCAACTCATGTATAAGTATGTCAATATCTGTAATAACTGATTTTCAAATATTTTAGGTTGTAAGCAGCTGATGAGAACCTAGCGAAATAAAATGAATTCATATTATTCTGCACCAATCTTTGTTCTTGCTCTCTTTAGGATAATAAAGGGAACTATGTGTATGAAAAATCATTGATTTGTATAATATCAATAAAGGTAACTTGCTCACACCTTTTTTATCTTTATCATATAATGTTGTACTGAGCAGAATTTCAGATTGATATTTCATGTTAAGTTTCTGTTCCCAATAGTATAGAATACGTATCCAACTAATTGGATGATAACGTAGTATATAATTTTTAGAATAGTCAAGCAGCAGATTCAAGTGTGAAGCATTTAAATAATGTATGAAATAATGAATTATACGTTTTGGATGACCGATTTGTTCAATTAATCCAGGATTATAATTGTTTTCTAAGGTAATGTTAAGCGGAAGTTTAGAATTTGAATTTGATTCTGTCATGGTTATTGCATACCCTGTTTGCTTCATACGTATAATATTGAATTGTTGTAGAATAGATAATGCTTCTTGATGTAATCCACGTGATTGATACAACATTATTAATTCCTTTATTATTGAAATAAGGTCAGAATTGAAAGGAATAACAGACGAAACAACAGATGAAAGAACTGAGTTCATAAAAAGCCTCATTTTACAAAATCAAGGGTTGATCAATCTTGTGCCCTCCATAATACTCCCCATTTCAGAATAATAAGATTTAACTCATCTTAGTTGACATTATTTAATACATTACTGGAATTCTTCAGAAGATAGGTTCTTCTTTTGTTGCTTATGCATTTCACATAGTGTTTTCAACCCTACATTATAGTTAAAATCGTATGCACAGACAACTTTACTAAACTCGGTTCATTAATGATTACTTAGATGGAAAACCAAACATTAAAAGGCACAGAAGATGACATACGTTCGATGTTTCTATCAACACCGAATGTAGATAATTGATCTAGTCTTGGATTATCAATGCAGTTTTTATGTCACCACTGAAACTTTTGATACAATAATAAGGAATAGTTGAATAAAAATGCATATCGACAATGTATAGCTATAAGCTGAGTGATCAACTACATTGCAAGCAAAGACAAGTGTAAATTCACTTAGTATTGTTTCCTCGAATCCTACTTGAATTTAAACTTCACCCCATTGCACAAAAAATTGGCTATCAGGACTCAGTAGTTAAGTAGAGAACGCGTGCTTGAATCGAACGGTACTGGGTTTGAGTCATGGAGTGAACATCAACTCTGGGATGCAGGTACATCCAGCTGACGAGTCCCAAATAGGACGAAACGCGTATCCTAGATTCCACTGTTAGCCAATGTTAGCTTATAAAGACGAATGTGTTCTGACCCTAAATGTTTAATAGTTTATGATCCGATATGATTTTAGATAGAAAATATGAATATCTCAATTTTGAATCGACGGTTGAATGATACTGCTCTCTTTAGGAGACAGCAAAGTCTTGGGCTCGACATTACATATCGACCGCCATGATCAGAAATCTTGTCATACACTCATTTAACAGCAGTTATTATTCACTGTTGAATAGACCGTATTTTGGTAAATAGGTATTTGAAGGGATTTTTTGTGGAGATAGTAGTAATTTAAATAGTTGAGATCATGAGTCAATTGAGTTTAGACCACCACGGAAAACCTGGAAGCACTGGATGACCGTTCCGTCCGATTGTGCGACTCCTCGGCAGTGCGCACCCACGACCCCGCCTCGAGGGATTCAATTTGTTTTATGTCAGCAAATATTGAACATTATTAATCGACTGGTTCCAACAGTACCTTAACTGGGATAAACCTATGAAGAATGTGACTTTAGAAAACCCATTAAGCAAACTATATATTGTAAGCTAATAAGGTGACTTAGTTCAAAATGAGTTCCAAACGTTCTAATGGGAAATCATATTGGAATTAAGACGATTACCACTTGTATCACTAAATAATCAAGTTGGAAATATCATTGGATTTCACTCTAATTGTCGAAAAGTGTAACATAACTTACAAGACCTGAAAGTTTTGGGTTTGATACTTAGAGGGGCTAAGGATGATGTTCACTGCCGAAAGGTCCACATACTACGACAAAATATTCCCTATCATTATTAAAATCATCAATTGCCTAGACCAATCATTAAACTAAAAATAAAAATAACACCTACGTGATAACGTTTATGTTCCAGTAATGTTTTAACTGACTCATCAAGAATACATGCATTTTCTTGTCGTAATAATGGTGCAACACGAGCTGTATTTGTTGATAAATAACATTTTAATAAACTTGTATCAATTAATTCTAATAATTTAGTATATGACACAATCATACTACTTCTATCTTTAATGGAATAACATTCAAATTCATTTGTGATAATGATTTGTTGTTGTTGTTGATAGTGGTCATTTCTACTATTTAATAATTGAGATTTTTGAGATTCTTCTATCATTGTGGAATTGAATAGTTTCGATGATTTTATCAATGATTGGATATTGTTTGACTGTTGATTTTTTTTTAATAAACGTCTCCATGTTAATAAATATGTAATTAATGGTTCAAATGCATTAATCATCTCAGATGAACTAATAATCTTGTGAATGAAAATTTATTTAGAAAAAAATAAAGAGAGAGGAAATAATGAGAAAAAAATATATCAGAAGAGGCTTTGTGGAGATTGTAGTAATTTAAACAGTTGATATCATGAGTCAATTGAAGTTAGACCACTATGGAAAACCTGGAAGCACTGGACGGACGTTTCATCCTATGTTTAGAAAGTCTGTGAATATTTACACTTATAATGTTATATCATGTTAAAGTTTAGAGATTACGTCATAGGTTGAAATTCAATCAAATGCAATTCATGATAAATCAATATATTGATCAATTACAATCTTGAATATCAATAGAAAGAAAAGTATCAAATCTTTTATACCCGTTGAACATATTAATGGGTACTTAAACTCAGTAGCTAATTGGATAAAGCATTATGGTTTAAAGTAATAGATGTATTGTAGTTTTATTTTTTCAATGTGAAAATCAACACTAGATCTATAGATATATATCCAGTAAATAAGTAATCAATAGACCACTTTAAATAAGTTGAAAGCTGAAACGGTCAAAATGCTACAGAAGTTAAAGTATAAACTAGGACCATCTTTATGGTTCCCTTTATATCCAAAAAGCAATAACCTTTGTAGATTTTATGGCTTACCGGAAATATATAAAACAGATATCCCACTAAGACCTGTGGTTGATTACATAAATTCACCAACTTACAATCTTTCTAGATATCTAGCCAAAATTCTTAAACCATATGAAAGCGTAATCAAATATGGAATAAAAAATTCTGATGATTTCAAAAACATTGTCAGTAATATCCGCATAGAAGAGGATGAAATAATGGCAAGTTTTGATGTTTGCTCATTGTTCACTAATGTTACTGTTAATAAAGCTTTACATATTGTATCTAAGCTCTTAGATTATGACACTGAACTTAAACAACGTTGTCCTCTAGATCCCTCAGACATTATTAGAGCGTTGGATCTATGTTTACATTCAACTGTTTTTAGTTTTCAAGGAGATTTGTACAAAAAGAAGGTGTAGCTATGGGATCACTAGTTTCTCCAATTGTTGCTAACTTACTCATGCATCCACTGGAAACAGGTGCTATCCAAATGTGTTCCATTCAACCGAAGATTAACATTATTTGTTTGTACCAAAAGATTGTATTAAATAGTAGTCTTGAGCATCAACAGTATGAGAAATACAAAATGAGGTTATTAACATGTCAAGAATTTCTATCTCAGTGAAAATTTCGTAATTTAATTATGTTGATCTATGTCAATTTGAATGCAAATGTGAACATTTGACATATAGATTTAACATAAACATATATTTAATGATGTGGGTTTATAGACTCATAGATGAGTGTCTTGGATTATTTGACCCATAAAGACAATTTATTTCGTATGGAATTTAGGCTAGAACTTTCTAAATATCTTAATGAACATAAATATTCAGTGGAAATAGTCACTGAATAACAGTTTATATACAAAAAAATGTTAAAGTTTGGTAAGTTTAGTTTTCGATAAGGAAGAGAAAGGAGAATTGAATAATTTTGTTGGTTTTAACCAAATGAATAGAAGTGAAATGAGTTTATAAAATACAGATAACCATTTGAACTAATGATATATACAGGGAAGTTGATCTATTGTTATTAGTTAACGAGATGATATTTTGATGAATATGAAGAACAATAATACTACCACTGAAAACGACTAAATCGAAACGGGTTCAAATCAGCAGTCTCGTTTTTAAAAGCACATTAACTAATATTCACGTTTTGTTAGTCTATAGAAATAAAATAGCATTAACAGGTTGTTTGTTTTTGAAAGACCTATGAAACACTAAAAATTTTCCTAGAATATATATACTGAGATTATCACTAATTTGGACTTTCAAATGGTTACTTCCAACCGATTGATCATTAATTAGTAACCAACCTCATGCCGATCAAATTCTATCGATCAAGCTTCAATATTTCCACTAATCACGGCCTGATTAACTCAGACTGTGAAGCTGAGTTACACGTGATTGAGTCAGTCAGGAAGCACCAGTTCCCTCAGGATTACACGTATACCTTACTTTAGAGTGCCAAGTAGTACAAAATCTGAGTCTAGGGATTGTTGAGTTGGCTTCCGAGAACTACAACGGAGCCTCCAGAGGCCCTAAAGGAACTGAAGAGTTCCAGCCAGTCAGAACATGATGGAGCTTTCTAGAATATCAACATGGCATGCTAATATTGGTCAGTAGCATAATACGTCAAAATATAATGTTGATCTAACAAATGCTATTATCTATAAATACCAGTGTTTTTCTGTACAAGAATGAACCTTTGGAGTAAAGTGCTTCTCACATATTTTGCGCCTTTTCTCTCGTGTTCAGGTCGCTGTGTAGTTCTAGCCTGAGGATTACGAGAATAGCTTAGGAACCAAAATATATAGAGTTCAAGTAACAAGACTTACCAGGGATTCCTGTCCACTACTTCCAAGCACCTAACAATTAGTTATTCCACTCCGTAGATTGTAGTTAGACACCTTGTTTTTTCTATCAGTTCATGTGAACAACCTGATGAACGGTGTTTTCAATTCAATAATAGTTGTATCGATTTTTACTTCTTTTTTACAACCTTACCCATCTTGCTTAGAGTTTTTCCTGTAATTGAGCTATCATATATCTTTTTTCTCTTTCCGATTTTATTACGCTGGATTATACTCCTTAAATGACGTCTTCAAACCCTAACCTTTCCGATTACTGCTTATACTTTTACTAACTCTACCACTGGGATTTGAACCGATAACTGCATCTCGGTGCTAACGCGGCATGGCAACTTGAACTGCTGTACGTACGTAAGAAGTTCTACGTTGTTACTGACTGACTGACTGAGAAATCCTATTGGAATTAACTGTAGAAGAAAACTGGAGAAAAAAGAACCGAAGATTACATTTTTCAGAAAAAAAGTGTAAAGATATTAACTTACTTTGATATCACAAGAATGTTCTATTTGATGTTTTTCTTGTTCAGATAACATACCAGGAAATAAACCAAGTACATGTATTGGATTAATTAATTGATCAGTGAATAGATTTAACGCTTCTGAATATTTTTTTTCATGATATAAATAAATTGCATACAATATAGTAATTTGTAATGTTTCCACAGGATTTTGACCACTATATAATGAAGTTTTGGCTAAACAAATAGCCAATTCAAATTCCTAAATAAATAAGATAATGTAGCTGAATATAGTTAACATTTAATGCACATTATGGAAGATAATAATCAGTAGAATATTATAATGTTATCATCTTGCACAAGATCCACTACCTAAGTGTTAAACAAATAAAAAAATATTATTAGTACACTTATACTTTTGTAGTATTTATACTGAGGTCTTTCAACAAAAATACTAATCATACAAATATATGATAAGTAATTGATCAAGTGATATCAATCCATAAATTCATTGATTGTTGGAATATATAATTTTGATAAATACAAACTATTTGGTATGGTTTCTTGCGATTATCAGTATCAAACAAACAAGATGATTAATTGAAATGTTTGTCGGTTCAAGGGAGGTAGAAATGAATGCCACATGTATTATGAAGACTGTTTTTACAAAAGTACAATCAAGCATCTAAACTTTTTTCATACAAACTTAAAGTATATAATGACGTAGTCAGCTAAAAATGAGATACAGTCAGTCAGACAGTCAGAAACAACGTAGAACTTCGTACGTACGTACGTCAGTTCTAGTTGCCACACCACATTAGCACAGAGATGCAATGATCGATTCAAATCCCGTAGTGGTAGAGGTAATAAGAGTATAAGCAGTAATCGGGAAGCTTAGTGTTTGGAGATGTTACTTAAAGAGTATAATACAGTGAAATAAATTTGGGAAGCTAAGAAAAAAAAAGACAAGGAGGAATAAGGAGATCAAAATTTGGGAGAACACAAAGAGTGTATGCACCTGCGCCATTGCAAACGATTTTGGGCCATGTCATTTAGGGTCTCTAACCATCGTTTGCTATCATCTCGCGGTCCCCAACCAGGTAGTACGAGCATGACTAACATGACTTAGACCACTTGTCAGTGACTTCATGAACTTGTGCCATGTTTTGGTCTGGCCGCCCCTTGCTTTCTTCCAACCTACTCTTACACCATAAAACATCACATGTCGGGGCAGTCAGTGGTTGGGCACACGTAAAACATGTCCTAGCCATGTCAGCTGATAAAGTTTCACTACTTCATCAATTAATTTGCCATTCTTACCTAGTACTCGTTTCCTAGCAACTGCATTGCTTACGCGATGGTCCCAGGATATACGAGCGATATTTCGAAGACACCTATGATCAAATACTAGTAACCTACGAATATCCTCTACTCTTACCGGCCATGTTTCACAGCCATAAAGTAGGACGGAACGAACTGCTGCGCAGTAAACACGTCCTTTGGTTGATAGACGGATATCTCGCCTACGCCATAAATAACGCAAGTTGGTAAAAGCTAGTCGAGCCTTCTGTATCCGTGCTGAGATTTCGTCTTGTCAGCTTGCGCTTAAGCTGACTCAACTCTTCATTATGTTCAGAGCCAGGTGGAATGAGTTTCCGAGCATCTATCAGTGCGATAGATGCTGCTGAGATCCAGTGTTGCTCCCTAACTTTCTGGTTTACCGTACTAGCAGATATCACTGCTGTTTCCACAGCTTTTCGGATATCATTCTATGCTGCCTCGGGGTGGGCATCACATACATGGCTGCCTAACTGTTTTCCTAGTTGTTCCTGAAATATACTCTTAGCTTGACTATCATTGAGTAGGGCCCCAAGAGGTTTCCTTGCAGTCTTTCTTACGTCCAGTAAGACGCAGACAGATACGCGCTCGTACTAGAGCATGATCTGAATCTAAGTATGTGCTCCAGAATGAGCGACAGTCTTCTATCGAGCCGCTCCATCGGTGGCTGATAACGATGTGATCTATTTGGGTCCAACGTTGGGACGAATTAGAGGGTCGCCTTGTTAAAAGATGTTTTTCCTTATGCTTAAAGTTAGTATTTGCAAGGAACAGGCGGTTATCTGAACATAGCTGCAAAAGACGGTTGCCATTATCTGTTCTTTGAGCCACGATGCTATAAGATCCACCCAGGTGTCTTTCCCTATCGCTTAGTTTAACTACTTGAGCATTAAAGTCACCGGCCACTATTACTATATCCGAGCGCCTAGCTTTTCGGAGAAGGTCGGAGAGCTTTCTGCAAAACTCATCTTTTACATCATCTGAGCTGCAGTCAGTGGGAGAACAGGCAGAGACGACGAAGAGGCAACGACGAGTGTCCCTATCTTTTTGGATCCTTACTGTTCCGTTTAGTCGGATAGCGCACAAACGACTGTCTACTGAGATCCAGTCTAAGAGAGCTAGTTCTGCCCTAGGACTCAATGCTATATCTATGCCAGCGAGGCCACGGGAAGCAGAGTCAGGGCTTCCAGATACACGAAGTGTGAATCGAGTCGGTTCGTTATTTTGGCATAGTGAGGTCAGATGAATGATGCTACTCGGAGCCTGTATGCGCGTTTCGGAGACGCAGCACACATCGATGGCGCGGGATTCTAAAGTCCTAGCTAGGGAAGCCTGTTTTCCTATTTGGCAGTGTTCGGACGTTAAAAGCTCCTACTTGTAGTTTAGAGCGTGGTTTTAGGAGACCAAGAATAGCGTTCCGCGTACTCGAATCATTTGCCCTAGCGGTGCGAGGTGATAAAGAAACGTGAGGAGGGTTAGTCATGGAGATAAGAGAGGTATTAGGTGTAGGAGGGATTTGAATGTGACCAACTTGGTCTCGTGCGCTGTTACGGGTATGAGGGCTGATATCACTTCCCGGAAGCCCATACCGTGGAAGGGTATTTCTTGAGGAACCTGAAATAGAAGTCGGATTAGTGTTGGTCTTAACGACCTGGGAGTGTGACCGCAGAGTCCAAGGGACAACTGCTTGAGGCCGGTCGCGCTCGGCCTTTTCGTGGAAGGTTTTTAATGTGTTAGCTCCGTTCTTTAAAAAGCCTTACCGCCGGAGACGGAAACCCGTGAGGTAAGGTGAGGTGTGACATTTTTAGGGTCGACCTTTTCTAACCCCACCCCTCCTTGTGTGAAGGCAGCATCGCCGCACATGCTGGTTGTCCGAGGGAAACACCTTACTGCTGTCACACCCCTCTACAGTCAGCAGTACGACTTCGCCCTCAGACCTTGAGTTGCTGCTTTTATTCTTACCGTTCACCAATCGACCTGCCTGGCATGGTAGAACCTACAGGAACATATGTTCCAGCCAATATAGCTCGGTTGTGTCATCACGATAGGCAAGCCCGAACACCGCGTCAAGGTAGCAGCTTCGGTCGGGTAAAAAATGAGATACAGTACATTCTATACTTCTTATAAAGTAAATATAACATCGCCAAACAATTTTTTGGTTTGGAAATAACGATGAATACTAATATCTTACATTGCGCGTGAAAGAATTAACCATAATTTAGCAGGAAATAATGAACTATTATAATGGAACTTGAAGGTCTTTTATAGAATATATACCCCTTACCATAGAAGATAGCACTTTAAGATATTGAAATATTATGACAAGTGCTATTGTTAGTAAACAAGATAGAAAATTACAGAATGGGTTTTGTGGAGAGTTTAAGAAATTTTACAAGTTGAAATTATTAGTCAGTTGAAGCTAGACCACCATTGAAAACCTGGAAGCACTGGACGGCCGTTTCGTCCTGATATGGGACTCCTTACTGCGCACTGCTGAGAAAATTTGATAGCTTTAAACTTCAGTATATATTTATTATTGCAATTATCTAATGTATATTAGTGCAGAACTACAAACTTGAACAAAGTGTTTGTTCAATGCTCATTTGTTTCAATTGGTCCTTCGAACTAAAAACCTACTTAATGTTTATTCATTTGATACTAATTTAACTAATGATGAGTAGTTGACTTCAGAAAAGTTTAGATTAGGTTAAGAATTTGTTTATATGTCATATAAGAGCTCTTCTAGAAATACCCAAACCCGGGTAAAGGAAGAGGGTTCGGCAAATCCATCCCATAGAAAAAAATCTTGCTAAAAAACGTCAACCAAATGAAACAAATTAAACAATTTAAACTCTGCCCTCCGAGTTTAAAGAAGAATTATGACGCATCATGATGAAAGCCGAGATTTTTCGAAAGTCACGAGACCGATGCCCCTTCTAACAACTAGAAAAACAACTTATATAGGTACATGGAATGTCCGGATAATGTGGGAGACCGGAAAGACCAATCAAGTAGCTATAAAAATGAAGAGATACAACTTGGCAGTGCTTCGAATCAGCGAAACCAATTGGACTCAAACTGGACAGTAAAGGCTAGATACGGGAGCGATGCTGCTGAACTCTGGTCACGAAGGAAAATGCTTCGCACACACAGGGAGTTTCTCTGGTGCTGTTCACACAAGCACGAAATGCACTTATAGGATGGGAATCCAGGATCATCAAAACATCCTTCAAAACAAAGGAGTGAATCACGAGGAATGTTATCCAATGTTATGCACCGACGAATGATATCAATGACGACAATAAAGATCAGTTCTTCAAGAGGCTGAAATCGATCACAGTAAAGTGCCCAAGAAAGGACTCATCATCCTGACGGAAGACCTGAACGCCTAAGCCGGAATGGACAACACCAAATATGAAGATATCATGAGACGACATGGACTGGGAGACAGAAACGAAAATGGGTAGAAATTTGCAAATCTGTGTGCATTTAACAAATTGGTTATAGGTGGCACAACATTCTCATAGAAACGCGTACACAAAACTAAATGAATCTTACCGGATCACACTAAACAGAACCAGATCGAACATATTTGCGTCACTTAAATATTCATAAGGTCAATGGAAGACGCGATAACCAAGAGAGGAACTGACACAGCTTCAGATCATCACTTGGTTGTGGCCAAGATGAAAGTGAAGAAAAAGAAACACTGGACAACTGGAGGAAAAAGCATTACGAAGGTTCAGCATAGCCTTCCTTTGACACACTAACAAACTCAACGAATTCAAAATAGCTCTCAACAACAGGCTACAAGCCTTACAGGACCTACTCAAAAAAGAATAAACAACCATGAAGGACAACTGGAAAGGCACCAAAGAAGCACTATTTTCAACTTGTCAGCAGCAACAACCTACTGTGGAAAAGGAGAAATTAGCTTTTAGAAAAAGATGGAATTAAAAAAGATGTTGGAAGTGGATACATTACGAAAATCACCAAACTGCATCACGATGCAAGCCCTGACTTAGAATTTTGAAAGGAAATGGAAGAGAGGAAGGCCGAAGAATAAACTACCTCGGGAATTGGAGGCAGACGTGAAAAGGAATAGCAACTGGGAAGAACTGCCCAGGACAGGATTGGATGGAGAGTGCTGGTGGGGGGCCTATGCTCCTTCACGAAGAGTAACAGGCATAAGTAAGTAATAAGAGTTGAAATGCTTTATAAGATAACAGTTGTTTAAGACAATAGAAAATAAAAAGAATGTATGTATTGTGCACTATAATTTTACTTTGCTTTGGATCTCAATCATTAAAAAGTAGTAGCATAAATTTAGAAATATATAGGTCATTACTTTGTTTTTAAAATACTTTATCATAAGGTTATTATTATCTACACACAATGAACATAACGACCAATTTATAACAATGTGAATATAATTCCATGTAATAATTTCTTAAAGTACGATGTTTAAACACTTTTATAAGAATTCAATCTAAGTGATCGATTTCTTTTATGTATGTATGTGGTGTATGCTAATTATGTCGACAGACACCAAATGGAAATGAAAACCCTAGTAGCAGAAGACTAAGAAGATGAAGTTGGAAAGAATGGAAAGAAATTGAAAATAGGAAGAATCATATAGAATGTGAAAGACAAATGGTGGAAATTTGCAAATGAAGTATTCAATGTATAGTTCTCATATTTTATCACAACATTCTTTAATTGCGTATTAAATATATAAGTTGCCCCACTTGTATATTAGACATGCAGAGACAAAAATACTGACATATTGAAGCTGGTTAGAATTCATACTCTTAAATTATACAGTTAGCTAATTATACACTTACACATATAAATACCATCTCTAAAAGCAGACAATAATGATTTTACTAACATTGTTTACCTTTTTTTCAACTAAATTTTGAATAAATTTTAATCTGTTCGCTGATAATATAAGCCAAATTTCATTACCGCTGTTATTTTTACCACGTACAACAGAAGAAGAATCATTATTGATTGATTCTGTTACAGTAACTTTTTGTTGATAAGAAAAAGAATCTGTAGAGAAAAGTGTATTAGTTGTAGGGGCAGGAGCCGTGCTTGCATAAAACCATCCACATTTTGAATAACACATTGATGTAACACGAGTTATAGCCAATTGTTGGATTAATTTATTAGGATTTAAAATACGAATTTCTAATGTATTATCCATAGTCTAATAGAATAGAAAAAGAAAATATTAGTCGTATAAAGTAATATATTTTAGCTTAACAATAAACATAATTCAAATGGATATGAGCTTCTGAATTCGGTCTTAAATTATGCTGTTGAAGCTCTATTTTCATGTGCTAGGGTTTCAATGCGAACACATAGTCGGTCATTTCATGCATTGACGCATTGTATTAGATATGCAGCTCCGAAGTTTCTTCTAGCCTCCTATCCTGGTAACCAATGTAGTTTACGATATAAAATGGTTCAGATACAAATATCTTATACTTAACTAATATGCAATAGCAAAACTAGATATGAAAGAAGTAAATACAAATAAGGAATGTGACACTTCCCTAAACAACTGACACATTTTAAAGGGAAACACTCACAGTAGTAGTGAACGGAATATGTTGATCAAAGTGATACATTTTCCACACGATACATAAATCTCAACTTAATAAAGTATATTTTGAATAATATCTTAAAATATATTGGATAATACAATTCATTCATTACATGATAAACACGATTATTTCCTATATTCAAAGATGTTTCAACTAGACTTTTTATTTGAAACACTTGAGAATGATTCTGGTTAATTCATCAAACCCATGTAGAATGACGGATAAGTGATAAATACACAATAAATACGAAGTTATCATGTTTGCAAAATTCAACAGCCTATAACTTACTATTCATTGTAATTGTTGAAAACATAAGTTAACAAAAAATACCAGAATATGACCCAAAATCAATATGACTGGAAAATTATTTTCATTAGATTAAAAAAGATAAGTTCATTATGCACTCAAATGAATCTATAAGCATATTAGTTGAACCCATGGAAGCAATGAATTGTTTATTATGAGAAATAAGGTAACTTACTTCAGGGTGAAGATTAATTTTCTAGCATTTGAGATTTATTTATCGAAGTTACACACCTCAGTTATTTTCATTTCTGTTAGATTAGAGTGAATAATTGGTAGAAATCGGACATTTAGAACTATTTTACGAAGAATTATTATGTATATTCTCATTGTGTAATTATTAAATACTTGGTTTATGGTTTTTTCATATCGCTCATATTGAAAGCTTTCATTTCATTCACAAACTGACATCACACATTTTTTACTTTTCCTAGATTATTGTTAATTGATTATGTACCTAATGATCAGTTCAGTAATACATTAAAAGTTAGTTAGGTACACTATTATTTCTTATTTGTGGTGAGAAGACTCCAAATACCCTGGTACAGCCGAGAGTGGAGAGAGTCCGCCCTCCCTCTTGAAATGCTCTCACATAGCCACGCGTATATAGCCTCTGCCAGGGAAGTCCTACTCACTGACTTCTCGTAGTGGGGGGTGTGTTGTTTACGAAATCGAGAGGACGAAAAGCGAATTTCCGGCGCTTAAACCGGGTTGATGGACACGGAAAGTTCACATAGGGGAGTTGGAAAACCCTGATTCCAAACCAATGGTGCACATCAGATCCAGTATCCTGAAGGAACAAATGGTGCATGAACCAATCGTTGGTTACCGGCTACCACGGGACTGCATCTTCTTACGTTGCTCCACTGCCTTGTGGATCAGACAACAATTTTCGGACATTAATAAAAGGAAGTGAAATTGGTAACTTCACAATTAATGAATACCTACGTTAGTAAGATGATAAGTTTATTCCTGAACATATGTTTGGGACTTTTACTAGTAATGTTATGATTGATTGTATGAAGTGATAACATGCAAAACTCATTATAATCGTTGGTTTACAACTAATTTTTGAAAACAAATTAAATATTTCATGTTTTTGAATCGAATCAGATCGATCAGACAAGTGTATAGTGAAAAATCCTAATGATAAAATTTATTTATTTAATATTTAGACTGAAATAGTGAGAATACCATAGTTATACTCTTGATAGTATGAGCCAATAAGAAATATAGATTTTGTCTGTAATTATTAAATTCCCCAGTTTTACACGAATTCAATATTTCTACATTACCATTAATATTTCTACTGTATGGAGAACTACTACAACTATTATCAAAAAAGTAAACTATTATCTACGCAAGATAATCTGTATCGGTTAGCCGGATACCATCATCAGCAACAACCTACTGTGAGAGGGAATAAACCAGCTCACACCTGAAGAGGAAATTAGAAAAAGATGTTGAAAGCAGACAAGACATACATTGAGGAAATCAACAAACTGTATCACCAGACAAGCAGTAACCTAGAAGACTGAAAGGAAAAGGAAAAGAAGAAAACCAAGAAACACATTGAGTCGGAAATTGGAAACAGACAACAGAAGAATAAACAGCAACTGAAAACAACTAGGAAGGATTGCCCAGGACATAGTTCGATAGAAAATCCTTGTGAGCAGCTTATACTCCTCCACAAGGGGTAACAGATGAAAATTAGTAATTAATCATTAATATCACATCTGATGTAAGGTTAAGAAAACACATTTTTTGAATACATTTTACAATTATACATTTCATTATATTATTATGGATAACAAATAAGATTAATTTTTCTCCCTAGTAACAAAAAATTATTTATTATGTATACATGGTTAAACTTTTATTTAAAATGATAAAAGTAGACATCAAATGAAAAAGAGATATTGACAATATATAAACGAGTACACAAATTTACTGAAATTGTTTCTTAATCAAACAAATAATTAGTGATTTCTAGTAAATTTAAGTAAAAACAACTCAGTGAAAGTCGACAGAAGTATTAAGACTGAAAAAAACTTTACTAAGTAGTAAATATGCATATAAATTATGAGATTAGTAGTAATAGAATGCAGTGTTTTCAAATTTAAGCATTGATATAATATTTTTAATTGATTGAATCTCCATATATGATATTGTTTAATACTGATAAATTCAGATTATGATGGAAATTTCATTGTTATACTTCCCAATCTTTTGTTAATAGTATCCCATATGGATTCCTTGAGTGTATAACTTGATATTATCTGTAGTCTGATATATTTTCGGATGATCCCTATCAGTGAAGAGCAGCATATATTTTGTCTTCACGATTAGTAAACAAATATCACATATGGTGTATATGTTAGTGATTATCATAGTTCAATGGTCTAATGAATAACTAGATGGAGTTTGAGATGATGGGTACTAGGATCGAATCTTAATGTACACGTCAATATAGGGATGAAGATACATTCAAATGACGAGTTCTAAATATAACTAAAGATGTATTCTAGAATTTAAAACTAATATAATTGGAAGATTAACTTAATAATGATATGAACATGTCAAACTTACCCCAATTATATAAGGTGGAAAAATATGAACTTGATATGGTACATTCGACCATTTAATTTGAAATATAGACTTATATTCATGAAATGGTGAAATAACAGATAATATATCATCACGTCCGATTCCTAGAAATGTACATGAACCTGGTAACATTGGCTGATAATATTGATTCAATGAAGATTTATCATTATTATTTTCATCATTATTATTATCTAATATGGATTGATTTAATGAATTTTCTGAATTGATTGTTGAATTTTTAGAATAATGAAATTTATCAAATATACAAGAAGAATCAAGTTCATTTAAATTGGATGAATTAAAACAATGAGAAAGTGAAGTAATTATTGGCAATTGATTTTTGCCAACAGCTGAAATTAACTGAATCTAAATATGTAGATTTGAAAAAGGTATTAAAAAGAAAAGTAAGCCAAATTTGAAGGATGAAAATAGTATAGACCTTTTCAATAATAATAATTATTATTATTACTACATTAGCACTAGGATACCAGACTACAAATAGAAGAGAATGATTATTTATAGTAAACATTATATTATAGAAAACAAAAATGTCAAAGGTGATTAAAGATATTTATTATGGGGATTTAAAACACTTAGCATGAATTCTATCTACCTAACTAAGTGATTACTACTTGGTGAGGGTTTTTGGCGGGAGCTAATCTATTAAGATCACAGGTGTAATACTATGCGAATGTTGCAATAAAGACAGATCCTCATTTTGTAATAAATTAACAATATGACCCTTTAAAAGTGATTCATCAATTTTTATAACGACACAGAAGTAGGTTCGAACTCGTTCTACCATTAACAGTTGTTCAATAACAATTATGATCCAGTAAATAGAGATTTTACTTGGTTATTTATTATTAGGATAATAATCTTTTAAAGATTAGTCGATTTTTGAAGATGAAGTTAAGAACCTACAATCCTACTTTGCCGGGAAGATTTATACTATGATGATATAAGTATTTTGTACCTCTTAGTTTTAAATGGTTACTTACTTCAAGTCAGTCAGTAACATGAACTATTTATTGTTAACTATTCGTCATTATTTAGCATCAGAGTTAATTGTTTCACGCTGTCGAGATTACGAGACGAATATTTCATGTAATAACTTCATTTTAACGTGTTATTTATTTATGAACCGTTATTTGAATGCAATATATTAAAATACGATTGCATACTTTTAACAAAATTTTACATGGGAATAATAATATGTTTAAGTAATAAGGGTGTTTATTTTCGCTTTAAAGAAAATATGCTACTTTGTATTATAAGTAGTTGGATATTATTCATTAAATACAAATATCTTTTCGAGCTGAATTAATGTCGGTATCGTGAAGTTCTACTTGTTTAGATCTAAATCTACATCAGCAATGCATGTAAATTAAAAGTTTTTTCAACTCGTTACGACTGATGATATCATGTATAGTGTAACTACAGTAATACAACTGAGAAACTCAACACACAACAATTACTAACGCGATTTTGCACTCGATCTGCACTAAAATCCTAACAGATAAGAAAACACGTGAACACACAAAATTGTATGACTGTTATCATCGCTAACAATTACATAAAGACAAATGAAAGTGTACTTAAAACGTAATTTGGTCTACTGTTAAGAGTACGACTTTCAGTGGCTTAAAATATGAATTTTGTGTGTGATTTTGAACAATGACAATTCAAGAATACTTTTGTTTCTAAGCAACTTTTTAAAAAGCAACACATTTTCTAACATCAGCACAGAGGGTATTTTAAGACTGTTGGAGATTGTACAACTTACATGAATAGTGTGAATTCTTCGTGAATATTACTGTAATTCCAAAGTGACCGAAAACTACTGAGCTAAACTTTAATGGGGTAGTATACATGCTTAGCGACTGAATCACTCGGAATTGCTGTATGAAACTAATCGATTTTTCCTGATTATATGAGAGTACTTACATTCACTAAAAAGAAATTTCACTTTTAAAAAATTTGATGTTCTAAGTTTATAATCTTATTACGTTGAGGCGAAGTATCCGAATATTTTTTTGAAATTAATGTGAAGAACAGGACTATAACTGGTAACTTGAAAAATGAAGTCGTATCTAAATACTGAAAGGTTATTTTACATTCATTAAAAAAAAGATTCAATGTCTTTTAATTGATCTTTGACTTGAGATTTTATAATTTAGATAAAATTAAAGGATAAATGTCTATTCGTCCCTTGGACATGCAAACAAATATTTGACTGAAGACGAAACTAGAGTTATTCAATGAATACTGTCTTTATAAAATTTCTAATCATTTATCACCCTTAACAGGGATGATGTATGTGATAATAAAGGGTATTATAAACTATTTGGCAATTTTGGTCGTAAAGTTAAAATTAGATCCAAAACGTTAACCGCAACAAGTATTCAGTGATGCACATAGTAATCATTTTAAATAACCGAATAACATTATGGTTTACTCTCTGAAAAATTATGTTTTACTAAGGTTTATATTTGAGAAAATGATCTATCTCTTACAGATTATAAGTTTGTTTATGTAATTGCTAACTTAATCTTTTTGAAATTAATTGACATGCATGGAACAAATTTTGTTAACATATTATAGTATCTTTTGATAATATATATCTGAGTAAATATAACAATATATCGATACAATGTGATAGACAAGAGATTATAGGGCATACTGTGTGTTATGTTGTTGAGCTTAATCGAACATGTGGTATCTTTTTCGTAGACTGTTAACTAGCATTTTACTACTGGAAACTGTTATAGATAATTGTAGATAATGAGAAAAAAAGATAAACTGCGTTTAACTTTAAATTTTGAAGATTAATCACCACGTGCCATTCTGAATGACTGAATACCACTGTGATGTATACTACATATGCTGACAGATATAAGTAGTATGTATCACCAATCGGAAGTGAAATGCCTAGCAGCAGAAGACTGAAATGAAGAGAATAGAAAGGGACTCGGAAAGCAATCGAAATGACTATAATTGGAGTAATAGTGGAGTATTAGAAGGAAAACGCAAAGAAGTGGAAATGACGTTTTTCATCTATCATTTTCAGACTTTATTAAACCACTTTGTAACTTTGCGTTAAACAATAGATTGGTTATCCTCGGCTGAGTCCTCTTTCATTACACCATAAGTTAAAAATGCTTAGATGGTATCCATAAAAGTATTATTCTATCACACACGCAACAACAAATGCAGAAGACGATCAGTGTAGTAGCAGCCTCAGCAGTAGTAGGTCTCAACATACACAAAGGTAAAAGCAAGATTCTTCGATACAACATAACATGCACCAATCGAATAACACTTTGGAAGATGTGAAAACCTGTACATATTTGGGCAGCATCATTAATGAATACGACGGATCTGATGCAGATGTGAAGGCGCGGTTAGGTAAAGCAAGACCAGCATATTTACAAGTGAAGAACATCTGGAACTCAAAAAGCTTGTCAACCAATGCCAAGGTAAGAATTTTCAATACAGATGTCAAAACAGTTCTACTGTATGGGGCGGAAACTTGGAGAACTACGAAAGCCATAATCCGGAAGATACAAGTGTTTATTAACAGTTGCCTATACAAAATACTTCGGGTCCATTGGCCGGACACTATATCAGCAACAACCTACTGTGGGAGAGAACAGACCAAATCTCAGCGGAGGAAGAAATCAGGAAGAAGCGATCGAAGTGGATAGAACACCCATTGAGGAAAGCACCGGACTGCATCGCAAGGCAAGCCCTCACTTGTAATCCTCAAGGCCAAAGGAGAAGATGAGTACCAAAGAACACATTACGCTGTGAAATGGAGATAGGCATGAGAAGAACGAATAACAATTGGATAGAACTACAAAGGAAGGCCCAGGACAGAGTGGGTTGGAGAATACTGGTCGGTGGCCCATGCTCCGTTAGGAGTAACAGGCGAAAGTAGGTAATAAGAGTAGTAAGTTAATTATATTGAAGAAGTATCCAGATGGTCATCAATAAACAAATATACTATGAATTTTGTGTTAAAAGGTTTGGAACTATACCGTTGTTTAACTTCATGACTCAATGATTTTGTGAACATGTTGGTGTTTGAAACAATAGGTATCAGTTTTAAGTCTTAATATGAACAATAATACTATGATCTAGAGATCTTTAGTTAGGATGAGTCTTGAATAAGACAAAACCCGGATCCTAGATTCTATTTAGAAGCACAATTTGTGAAAAACAAAAATTAATGTTGTTTGTTCATTGTGAATATATTCACTCTGCTCATTTCGTGACGAGTAAACTTTTTAAACACTGTAATATTTTATGATCGTTATAACAAGCAGCTAATTGAAAAATTGAATCAAATACTTTAATGTTAGTTAGTGAGTTCCATATGAAAAAATCTCTAATATCATGAAGATAAATTATTGTAAGCATTATTATTTATTGGTTTATTAGTAAGTGTTTAGTTTACTGAGATTATTTAACATCACTTTATGAACATAAGAGAAAGAGCTTTTTCATCATGCTTAAAGTCATGGCTGATATATTGATAGAACATTCATTCGATAAGAAATTTCTGTTTGACAGAATTTGTTACATGCCAACCCAGTGGCCAAGAGGTTAAGTCTTCGCGTGTAAGACCAAAAGTCTTCAGTTCTAGTCCCGAGTGCAAGGTCGTGGGTGCGCACCACTGAGGAGTTCCATACTGGGACGAAACGGTGGTGGTCTAACCTAGAACTTTTCGTGATTTTAATAGAAGTAAACGACCCCTACAACCCCTTACTGACAACTTATCTCTTGAAAATTATTGTAAGTGGACGAAACTTAATTAGAACTTAAAAACACTGATATTTGGTGATTCGTAGTGAAATTTTAAGATGTATATTCGGTCCTATTTGAAACCCATAAACTAGATACGATTGTAGAGCGGTATCTGATTGGTTAAAACGTCCAACTTACAGCCACTAAGCCGCAGATTTGAACCGGCTTCCACTTACTTGCGTTTGAATAACCGAGTTGTATCTACAGCACTCACACTCAGATTGTGGCTGAAAGCCAAGGACATGAATTAAAACCTGGTAAATGAACTGAACTAGAGATGCTTAAATATTTTGTTGTTACTATTAAAATGAAGTACGATCAGCACTAGTGATTACAGTTAACAACGATTACTATTAACTGATCAATTATTATTGAAACTCATCTACCATAATTATTACCAGATGCTTGCTAATGGACAGCTACTAAATGAATTTCTCAGTTTCAGTGAGAAGCTATGACTTGTGAAGTTAATCAGTCAAAGAGGAAAACAGTAGTTTATTAATGACGCTGGATCATGGTTTAGTTATTTCACAAACTGATTGAAGTCGAGAAATACGACCCGCTGAAAGTCAATTGAGCAATTCAAATAGTAATATGCTCAGCAGAAAACCTAAAGGTTGTGGGTTTTGTTCTTGAGGGCTTTGTAAGTGTTTAGTAATGGAGTAATAGCCTTACAGGTGATACCAGTTCGTAATGATAACCAAAAAGTAACAAGAAGGACTCTATTTAGATTACTCACAATTTCTTCGGTAATAACTTTGCCTATATGACATGACAAAAGTTAAAAACTAGTGAATTAACTGGCTAACAATAAGGACATACCTCACCACTAATAATATTGATTAATAAATATTCACCTCGATGTCCTACAACAAGTTTTGATAGTCCACAAAATGAAATCGATCGAACAACTTCTGGAATAGTCATTTCATTTGGCCATGAAGGTGTAAGTAAATCATCTGATCCTCCAGGGCATACAAATTCACGTGTTTTAGGATTCCATCTCCAAAAGTATAAATGACGCTTCACAACAACACAAATGCGTAATTCTAAAGAATTTGATTTTGAGTCTTTAGAATTTTTTGATTCATTTAAAATACTTTCAGAGGATGATGACTGTGATTTGTTTAACGATAATGAATTGCCTATTTAGATAAAAAATACAATTTGTAAATAATCATATTAAACTAATAGTATAAACGAAAATGTTTAATTATTAGACAAACCCATGATAATTTCTTTCGAAATTATAATTATTATAATAATCTATCGTTTTAAGGAATTGATCAGTCTAGAAGTTGCTCTTATAAATTAACATGGATAGAAACATGACAGAAAATTAGCCAAGTTAAATAATTGTCTCATCTAAGACTTAGTGATTAAAATATTTGACTATTAACCAGTAGAGTAGTATGTTTTAGTTCCATTTCACCAATGTCAGTTTGAAAAGTCGGATACTATGAGTAATCATAACGTAAGAGATGTAACCGAAAGCCAAGTACACAAACCTGTATCAGGTTACCTAGTAGTGTGCACACTCACGATATATTTCATGTTCGAATACTTTTGAGCCAGGCTGGAGTCGATTAAACTTGGAAAAAATTAAGTGATTAATTGCAATCTAATGATTATGGATTAGAATGTTGATTGTGAAACTCAGAAATTAGGTTCGACTTTTAACATATTAACGTTAAACGCTGTTGAGATGTCTGGTGCTCGATAACTATTTAGACGTTTTCGCACTACGTTGTCAATGACGCATTTCATGTGAACGCGAACGAGACTATCTAGCTTCCTAAACCAAAGTAAGTGGGGTAGGATCAAGACATGAGAAAAAGTGTTCGCATTTCCAGTACTTGAATCAGTAGACCGCCGCTCCTAATGATAATTTGAGGTGGTCAGTATTCACATACAGAATTAGTAAACCACAGTTTACTGTACTGTTGGCTGAACCAGACATTTTTTCACTTTGACAAATTGTTAAATGCTGTTTCATGTAGAATAGAAGCCAGTGGCGATCCTGCTGTAACTTTCTTTTACTTTCTTCATTTAAAAATGGTTGTTTCTTCCTTAACTGAAAGATTTCTTCTGATTATACCTTTCCGTTTCCCCAATTATTACTATTATTATTATTAAACTACCTTACACTAATCTGTTCGTTATTGTTCTTTATTTTTCTCTTCGAATTCTTATTGTTTTGTGTGGCGCATATATATTTGGTGCCCTCTTGTACCAATATTTGTGTTCAAATAAATAAATAAAATAAATTGTTTCATGTATGGCTAAAGATGTAATAACAAAATACAATATATCCATAGTATTCTAAAATGGATTTCTGTAGCTTCCGCCTTGTTTGAACTGACTGTTGTAACGGAGAAAGTGCTGCTGTAATATTTGATATTGAAAACTATAGCAATTTTAACGACCCAAATAAGTAAAAGAATATTTTATTGAAGATGTCAAAAGACACTAACGGTAATGAAGTAATACACTCATTTAATGATTTTAAACAAACTTGATGACTGGTTAGCATGCATCAGGTATGGAGGAAATACATAGAATCGCTACAAAAACACAAAATACACAACATACTAAGCAGAGTTCACACTAAATTAATACAAAAAATTATCCTTAGTAGACGTCATAGTGAGAAAAACCAATACTACAAAATATCACACAGAAAATGAAAGACATCAAGCTGAGCAATTACCAGACTGATTTATGTTGAACAGAAATTACAGGATTGAGAAGGCATGATCTAGTTTTTTTTGTTCCGTCATATCAAGTGGTTTTAGTGGCTATTATATCACAAGGCCACTTCATCTAACCCGACTCGTAGGAACTTTGATAAAAACTAGTGACTTACTAGTAAAAACTAGAAATGACATGAAACTCGAGCTTTATGAATTAGAACAAGCGAAAGTGAGTGACAAAGAATTACTAAAAAAATTTAGGTGTAGAAAGACAGAGTCAACCGGAATCGGTTGAATTAAAGGTATGTATGCCAGAAATTTTGATGAAAATCGATCTATATTTATAGTCGCTAGCCAATTACGAAAAAAATATAAATATATAAATAAAAAACTATAAATACCTGTTATGTTACATGAGGATACAGTTGAAACCTTCGAATATTGCATACAGTGGGTAAATAATCCAGATCCTTTACTGTTTGGTACTGATGTAATTAGCTGACAATTTTGAAGTTGATATACACTCATACGACCTTCAGCAAGTGCTAATAATAAATTTAATTCAGGAATAGCTGTCAATTGTGTAATCGGTTTTTTTCCGAGTGTTCGTGTAATTTTTACATGAGTAAAAAAAGTGGGCAAAGGGGAAGATGATGATACAGCATCTGATTGAATTTCATTCTTGAATGGAATTTCTTTTAAATGGTTATTTAAACAACTTAAGTTTGGAATGAAAAATTCAGGATGACTAGCAATTTTCGGTGTTAATTCATATACTAGTAATAATCCTTGTTTTGTACCGACCAGTAAAAAATTGTCATAACATGTTAAACATTCCAGTGGATACGGATAATCACTCAATAAACGAATAGGTACAAAAGCAGAATACATTATTACCCATTCATCTAAAATAAATAATCGGAGAGAATTAGCACACACAAAATTCAATATTCGGTTATCACAATTAAGTACTGAGAAGCAACCACAAGAAAGTAGTTGGTTTTGAAATCGAAAATCTATCATGGAAATTTCAAAGGAAGTTGATAAACTTACCAATTTTCTGGACACGTAAAAGACTGTGTGCAGGTACACAAACCTATAGCTTTTAATGATTGATTATGACGACCGATTGATAAACACTCGTTTTTATTAGATTGGGAAACGAAAGTTCAATTGGGATGTTGACTGCATGTTATCTACTATTAGTTTGTCGATTGTGTTATGACACTCAATAATTAGTGAGATTTCGAACTCCTTTGAGTCACCAACATTTCTAGTTGACTATCAAATAAAATAATATTAAGTTGTTCGAGTTTCTTACAAGTGGTAACGAAGTTATGTCCTTTCACACCAACCAAAAGTTCTAGTACAGCTATGATCTCGCTTATACCGCTAAATATAAATCCGAAACCTCCGTTATTATACTTTTCCATGATAGGCTGTGCGGATCTCTGTTCCAAAATTGACAATTAAAACATCAGAATGACAGATGAGTGGTCACACAAATTTTCATATAATTAGACTTATAACTTTTACAGTTACATTATTAAGACTAAAATGCACCACATGATAACTTTCAATAGGTACGTAACCAGAAAATTCCTGATGCAAAGTCAGATAACAAATATGTATGATTGCAGTAACATTTAGCAATTTCATTTTCAGGCGCTAAAATTGTAAATTCACAAGGACTGTCACAAAAGTCAATAAAAAGCGCACATATATACGTCCTAAACATATTAATCAGCATTACAAAATAAAAATGGGTTTTGTGTTTATCGGAGATTAAATGCACAATATAACAATTTCTCGCTAAAACCGTGAAGATTAATTCACCGTAAAGCAAAGCAAGTTCTATATTTCGTCTCTTTCACCTATGATACAAATCGGATTTATTATTATTATTATTTTGGTGGCCCGTGGATCTGACTCCTATTTAGATCGTATGAATGATTGCTATCGCCTTTTCTCGTATATAATCGTCGACTTAAATCACGTTAGTCAATAACGGAATTTAGATAAGTCAATTAACGGGAATAGCCTTTGAATACATATATTTCGTATGTAAAGTGAATGTAAAAGAACAGAGCAAAACGACGCGCGTGGAAGATGGCTGGGAAGCCAACTCCATTTCAAGCTGGGCATTACTCAATATTTATAGGCAGACAAAATAAACTACAGACATGTGATGAGTCACGGGACATGAAGTGTACACACATACGCCCATATGAAAACAGTCAAGGCTAATAAGCGAATAATTGACAAGGTCAAAATATGACTCAAGCAGAATGAATAGAATGAAATGTCCGAAAACTAGAATAAGATATATTATGGGCTAAAAATAATGTCTAACACTACATAGCCTCCTCGGAGAAAATAGCACATTTAAAAAATGTCTGTTTTCGAAAGTAACAGTGAAGTGATATGAAGTTAACGTTAGCAACAAGTAGCGAAAAAAAATTGTACAGCACTTGATAAAGTAGTGGCATTATTTTTCTTCACGAAACTGGGAGGACGAAAAGCGAATGTCCGGCGCTTAAACTGGGTTGGGGGACACGAAGAGTACACCTAGGAGAGTTGGAAAACACTGATTCCAAACCAATGGTGCACATGGGACCCAGTATCCTGAAGGAACAAATGGCGTGTGAAACCCAATGTTGGTCACCGGCTACCATGAGACTGCATTTCCTAACGTTGCCCCACTGCGTTGTGGATCAGACCTTTAGGTCGAAGGTCCCGTGTTTTGCTCCCTAAGAAAACCACCTGCTTCCGCACGGGCACCCAGGCTATTTCACAACCCAGACACAAATCAATTGAATTATGTGGCGCATATGTATTCAATGTCTTTTTACACCAATATTTATGTATTCAGATGAAAAACAAATAGTTTCACCTATGTACGCAAAATTAGATATTTAAGGAAAACAACAAAACAAACATAACGGCACTTTTAGCAGCATTGTCGCTTTCCCTAAAGCGAAAAACTTAGGCATTTATTAGTTATTCAGCTCTTCTGGAAGTAGAGTGTGGGTACTACCTTACTATAATAAAAGATAAACGATATACGACTTAACAAATAGCATTTATTCTCCAATTTGGATATTTCAAAGATGGTGATTTTATTTTAAAAGTATGAAGCTAGCAGTCTGAAATGTGATTAAATTAATATCAAGAAGTTTCACGGTTAGTAGACGATTATTACAGATACGTTCAATTGAAAATATAATCAAATGACTTAGTAATTCATGAAGTAAAGAAATATAGTTTTATATGTTTGAATTACTCCGAGAAGGGAGATGAACAAATTGTTTATTTATTTATCTAGTTGAACACAAATACTGGTACAAGGGGGCACCAGATACATATGCGCCACACAAATCCCGTTTGCTTTGTGTGGGGGCTGTGATACTGCCTGGGTGCCCATGCCCAGGCAGGTGCTTTTCTTAGTAGGGCAACACCCAGAGCCTCCGACCTGAGGGTCTGATCCACAAGGCAGTGGAGTAACGTAAGGAGATGCAGTCCCATGGTAGCCGGTGACCGACGATTGATTCATACACCATTTGTTCCTTTAGGATACTGGATCCGATGTGCACTATTAGTTTGAAATTAGCGTTTTCCAACTTCCCTATGTGGACTCTCCGTGTCTCCCAACCCGTTTTAAGCGCCGGACATTCGTTTTTCATCCTTTCAATCCCGTAAACAACACCACCGCCACGAGAAGGCAGTGAGTAGGCAGAGACTATATACGCGTGGCCATGTGGGAGCATTTCAAGAGGGAGAGCGGACTCTCTCCACTCTCGGCCGTACCAGGGCATTTGAAGGCCTAAAACTTACCTACATTTCATTTAATAATAGTACTCACTTTCTTACATGTATGAAAAAGGCACTAAAGACAGGTATGGGGGAGTAAACAGTGAATGTTCAGTGTTAGAAATGTGAACAAGAAACCTGTGAAAAAAGTGAATGTACATGAAGTAAAATAGGTTGTGACTACTGGGTATGACGAGATAACCAAATGGGGTTTGTTTGGGTACTTTGGATTAAGATGTAATTCAACTAATTTGGATGCTAGACTAGATAGTTGTGTTTACTTTGAGCTGTACGCTCGATAACATGATATCGTGGAAAACTAGCTTGTGTTGGTGAATGGAAATATTTTGAAGTCAAACCAACCAGTTGACATCAGTTAAAAAGGTAAAGGGCTTATTTGTTTTACAGTATGAGGCTTCTAATGTTGATGGTGCTATAACAAATGCGGTAGTTAGTGTTTTTACAGCATGTCCTACACAGTTCAGTTTGGTTAAAATTAGATTACATTGAGCTTTACTGACAAAGCCACGGTTAGAAAGGAGCTCATGCTATGGAAGGCAGCTAAAAACTATCAGATCTCTAGAAAGAAGTGGGTTTGGGGAAATAAGAGTTTAAGGCTTGTGAAAATGACCGTCCGAGTACATTTGCCAGTCAGGCGAGACTATAATTTCAGGAAGAATCAATATGATACACGATAACAAGTCTTGGATTTTGGCGTTAAATTCATTCATCTATTTGGCTACGTAGCGTTTTCGAATCGTAGCTGATGTCAGTTTGTGATGAAAACAACAAGTCAAGTTCCTAACCCTAGTTATCAACTGTAAATCATGATTCTAATTCCTCAATCTGCTTTGTAGTCATGTGAAAGACAAGGTTGATACCTATTTAAATTCCATTTAAAAACATCCGACCTACAGTCTAATGGATATTAGAGATAGGTTTGTCCGTAAGCTAGAGTACGTTAGGGGTGTTATGTAATAATAGTGGATATTACCCCGGAAACTTGATACAAAGGCGTCGATAAACCAATCTAGTGGATGAATATACTTTGTCGCAACAAATAACGAAATGAACCGATAAACCAACAGACTCAAAGACTACTGTGGGTTGATGAATGAATACATCTCAAACACAATTATATTAACGAAACAAAAACGTAAAGTAGAGGGATCCAGATGGTGAATCTGAAATAATGAAATCAATCCAAAGTTGAAAAGGACAATATCTTACTTATTACACTCTGTTTGCATAGTTTTAAATGTGATAGGATGCAGTTTTTAAAAAAGGGTATTTTTAGCAAAATATGCAAACAATCACGATATATCGTTACAAACTATAGTTTTCAAAATAGTTGAAACCAAACCCAAGAACAGAACCACCATGATTTGATCTACGAATTGATCCAAGATACAGTAAAAATGTTAGAGATTTCAGACCGAACCACTATCTCCAAATACCTGGGTGGAAAAGTATATTCTCATTAACGTCCTGACTTCAACTGACAAAAAAATAAAAAAGACCAGATACATAGCATATCAGTCTACTTTGAATGAATACATTTTTAATTCAACGTATCAACACCAATACATTCAATGTCTGTTGATTAGGTATAATATATGTTACTGAATGATGAGTGCCCAACCATCGAACTCATACTAACAACGAACAGATACAATGTTTTTGAAATAAATAGGATCATAAGCACTTTCTGCAAAACTGATTAAAAACAAATAAAAGACTGTCTATAGTAAAACATCTCAGAACTGACAGCAACGTACATACTTGAATTTTGCGCTTTCGATTCAGATTTAAATTTATTCAGATTTGTGTAGTAAGGATAAGAGGCTTACAAACTATGTTGTTCCCCTTATAGTTCGCCTCTGTAGGCGCCCAATATTCTTTAAATTAGTCAATAGAATGTGCGAACAACACTGCTCCGCGTAAGAGGTTTGATTTTGTTGAAGAGTTTAAGGCAACTCTTACAAAATTAATTTTCATTACGCCTAATTCCTCCTATCCCTTCCATTAACTTATTTAAAAATCAGTGTGATTCAAACAATGAAAATACGTTAATTTCTTTGTATTATTGTGATCGCTCACATGTATCTATTGTGGCGGTAAATAATTCACCAAAATAAAAAGCTCTGTAAGTTTTCGACATTAGATGCTGACCACATGTTTTAATGGACTCACCTAGCTGAAGGCGCTCGGTCATGCATCCGCACCAGATCACGTGTGATAACGCTGTGCCCAACTGCTACTGCAATCGCTAGCCAAATTAGATCGCCAAATACCCTCCCCTGATCTACTTGATTCTGTCTTTTGATCTCTCTCGGTAGCTACGAATTATATTAGAAGGTGTTGCTGGTAAAGGCGTTGTCAAACACTGAATACCTGTGCCATTTTCAGTATAAATGTGTATGCTTGATCAAATGTGACAGCGGAAAATTCATATTCCTCACTCTACCTTAAATAATAATCGCTTAAACATCGCTTCATGAAATAGTCCACCCTCATTTTTTATGTAATCAAATCTTAATAATATCTTTCGGTTTGCCTAAACCTTCAAAGTCAATGCCTTACCTTGCTGCGCCTTGATTCGTTGTGACTATAAATCCGCCTCTGTGTTCACTTGCTCGAACATATTAGCCTCTCTGCTCCAATTCACTAGACGTAACTGTAACTTTATTATCTGTACTTTCCAGGAACAGACTGTAGTGGCCGCTTCTTATTACCTCCTGAACTCTTACTCTGTAGGGATTTATATAATAACGGTGATCGATAAGCGAATTAAGGAATTGTCTCGAAGTCAAACCATTACATGTTGATCTAACCTTTGTCTGTCGGTTAGGACTCGACGTTTAATTATAGCCTTTTTCAACTTTTCGTAAGGTTCCGAAACATAACTGGTGAATATCCTAGGTGTGACGTACCTGTTAAGCCCACGCAATAATGCTTTCACTACGAGAAATTGTGCGCGTGAATCTGACCCGTCGAGCATTTCAAAGTGAACCAAGCTAATATAGTGTCGGCCAAAATGGTATGAGTTGAAGGGTGTGGTGCGTAAAGGCATAGTATTCAACAATCAGTTTGTTTGTTCCATTATGATAAAAATATAAAATTTTGGCGGGTGGCAAAAAATATCCGAAAACTTGCAAGTAATATCATAACAGGTTAAAATACAAATCGAATAATGATTTGTAGTGTTCCAACAAGGAGCAGACCAACACTTACCGAGCTGGTGTACCAAATCACGTTGGTGTTACCACCAAAAATGCTATATTTATTCGAATTTACACGTAATGCCACTATAATTGAAGTATGCCAACGCACTTAACTCAGAAGTCAGAAATGGAAGGCTCGAGGATATATTTGGAAAGCCATTTATATGCTGTGAAGCGCCTAGTCTGAGCCGTCCTGCAATTACAAGAGATGTGTTCGGCTGAGCGACCTAGTTCTTTCAGCCAAGTATGTACAGTAAAAGTAATGAGATTTAAATGAATGTCATAGATCAGTAGAAATATTTATTTTAGGGGTATAATAACCGCCACAGACGCTACATAGAATAATGAGCTATAGAGGTACATTTTATATTTAACGAGTAGTCAAGCTGTGGAATTCACTGCTGAAGAAACTGACCCAAGCGTCTTCATAGGAGTCCTAAGGACTAAGGAAAATATTTCAATATACTCTACTAGTTATTATTATTATCCACAAACATCTTATGGGTACTTCTTTCTCTATTGTCGTTTAACATTGCCAGGTTCCTAGCTGACTGCACCAGTGATGCACTGATACTAAATTAATCGATCGGCGCTTACTTATGTTAAAACACTTCTCCATTAGTCTAATGATTATTAATCATGCGTCCTACCGTATTGTAATACTGATTAGTACTCATAGCTTACTAGCTCCATCGTTACAAGTAACGTATCATCTATATCTACGTTTGGCTATGACCGTTTATTAACATGCTTTACTAGCATTTATGATGTTCTTAAAACCAACCTTTTCATTGTGTCACATTACATAACACAAGTGAAAGCAAAACGACATCCATGTCGCTTACAAGAGTTCCTCATGACCGTGTTTAAATGTAAGCTGTTTGGTAAATTGTATCAAAGTTGACGACCGCAAAACAAAAAGCGATACACTGGAAGCATGTACAACATGTACAACATCAAGGTACAGATGTATACACGATGAATAACACTGAGCTACTCGCTGTCCAGACACACAATGACTTAGGAGTCATCGTTAGCCAAGACGTAAAGACTTTTAATCTGCTGTGCAATAGTTGACAAAGGTTCTAGAACTTGTGGTCAATACGTAGGAAGTTTGACCATGTCTATGCTAAAACTTTTTTGACTTTTTATGCAGTGTTCGTGCGCCCTAAAATTGATCACTACGTACAAGCGTCAAGGCCCGCATGAAAAAGACAGTGAGCTTTTGGAAAAAGTTTAGAAAACACAGCAACCAAGCTGAATCACAAAATAAAGAAACTGTTGTATGCTGCTCGACTGGCCAAGCTCAACCTATTCCCGTCGTCATATCGTAAAACTATAGGCGACTTGATTACAGTTTTCAGATTGTTTAGTAATAAATTCGCAACTGATATGCCTCCATTTTTCTTGTCTTCCAAAACAGAGATATTACGAGGACGCTCTAAAAATGTTCACAAAACCAGAGCAAATTACTTGTCAGTTGGCTATCGACATTTCCATCGAATCATCAACGAACGGAATTCCATACCTCAACACGTGGTTGAGGCTCCACTCATGGACTCTTCCTAAAGAATGTAGGATCAACTGAGAGACCATCAGCAGCAGTAATAACACAGGCTCATAAGCCCCCAGACGTTTCGAAACTGAAGCCACGTTTAAATTAAGCAACTTTCACGAATATCGTTGATGTAGCATTTTGTGTGTTATATGCGTATTTGACATGAACTTTAAGAATCGTAGGATTAAAGAATTGTGCGAAAACCTGATTTTCCAGGTCAAAAAGCCATATATAAGCGATCGGTGACTTTTGTTTTTCTTTGACATTTATATGTATTTAGGTCGCTAATGTTTTCTCGCACTGTTTGGTTTTGATTCTATCCTACATTTCGAAAGGACTTAACGTTTAAACCTTGCCCCTATGCAGTAATGTGAAACACTTATACAGAGATGGTATAGAAGTAATTATTGTCCTGATTCGCCGATGGTCGAAGAATTTTATCGCATTTAATCCAATCTATAAAGTATATTTTAGATACACCTCATGCTTGAGGTGTTTATGAACATTTATAAATGTTCATCTAATTAGATGATATATTTCATTTTTGGACAAATTGTTGTTATTTTAGGAATGTTCACCCTAATTGCGACACGTTTGTGCCATTTTAGACCACTTTGTCCCCTGTATACAGTGAATATATAACATGATGAAATTTCGCTAGACCAAAGTTATTTATTTTCTCGCAGTACAAAACGATGTATACCTTCTTTAGAAACCATGAAACTAAGAATTTCTTCAGCATTTTATCAGAATAACTAAACTATTATAATGCTGGTATTCGGCAGATAATCTTGATTTCTGATGTTTAAAGCAACTGAACTCCCACTTTTCTTCATAAGATGAAATAAGAGTCTATCTTAAATAACAATTTCATTCCTTCTAATCTATAAAACTTTCAAAGTGTGTTTTTTATGCGATGGAACAGCCGAAGCGACCAATAAAGGGGACGAAAGCGTAAATAAAAGGGAAATGTCGCTTTTCTTCCTTTAGGTCGGTTATTTTCCCCCTTTCATCGTGTATTTGAGGGATATTAATGAACAATTAACTTTGTAAAAAACCTTTTGTTTTATGAAGACAAACATTCGACGTATTTCAATCCACATATGTTGAACATTATTTTTAAAACTAGCTAATATAGTTTGGTAAAAATCCCCAGGTGTCATTTCGTAAGATTGTCATATTGAAGGAACTGAGTTACCTCGAGAAATTGGTTTTGGTAAAGCAGTTGCATCAATTATTTTCTTATAAAACTTGAGCGTTTTCTACGATACGATTTCTTCCGACTTTTCATTTATTTTCTTTCCTTGGGTTTATCATCCTATTGTAATGCTTGTCATTTTACCGATAATCTGCTTTGGAAAGTTGGGATTAGTTTCGATTTGCTTATGTGAGCTGTAGGAACTTGGATCGTCATATATCTGTGCTAATTTCAACATTTCTGATTATATACAAGTAACTAACTACTTATCTAATGTTATAACTTGTGGTCTGTGTGTCCTGTTAATGTATAATGTAATGATACCGCCAATCGGAGTACAGTAAATTATATATTGGACAAATGACGAATAAAACCCGTACGAGCAGCCTAGAGTCCTTATCGGTCTTGCTTTCTGCCTAGCCCGGCATGTTAGGTCCAGAACAGTAATCTTAGCTCCTTTGATTTGAATCATGTATTCCAAACATACAGGGTTTATATATCAGCCAAGCAGACTACATCGTACCATAAAATAGGAAACAAAATTTGTACAAGATTTAGCCAAAAAAGGCTGTGAATAAGAGAGATATTAATTAAAAGGCATGGCATAATTCAAGAATGGTAAATAGTATAATAACAGTTCATAGGTCAAAATAAAACTTATGATATGAGGAACACGAATATGAATTGTTTAGTTATTTAATAATTATATGATAAAAACATACGTATAGTATTGGTCCATAAATGAATTCCAAAAGTTACGATTCATTATTTTCATCTCGATATAACACTTAATTCTCAATATGATTATTATTGGCTTAAATATCAACCTGATTATTAATATCTTCTCTTACGCCACTATTTATAAGCTAATTCTCTGATCGTTGATTCATGTTTACTCTTTTTATTATTAATGGTTCACTCCTTTGCTTATAGCTATACTCTCTATTTTCAGACTAACAACATAATCAATAAACAAAGATTTTGCTTGATCATCGTCTTTACATGAGTTATAATAGTTGTGTTCTCAAGGACCACTTTACTCTACCACCGGAGGTAATATTTTATTTTTGAATGGTAAAGTATTTTATAATATCCAGGATTCAAATGCCAGATATATCAGTGAATTAACACACAATGAACAGTTATTGAAAGAAACTAAATTAAAACAGTTTTTGATAACAGAACAAAAGCGATCGAAATTGTATAGATCACTAATTGCTAAAGTTAATTCCAGTTGTATAGATGACGTAAGAATGTTAAAACGCTTTTATCTGTAAATTTAGAAACTGTTATCTAATTTATCCAGTGAATCAGTTCTTACTACTTTGAATCAAAATGCATCGTGTGATAGCACGAACAGAACAGATTATCAAAGTAATTTTACAGCTTGGTGCTTTATAATCCATTAAAATTCTAATTTTTGTAGAGTGCAGTAATCATAGTGAAGTATTAACCAATGTAAGTTTATATTTATTAGTAGTATTTTTATCTATTTCACTCTGTTATTATCTTCTGTCTAAAGTTTGTCAATCTTACGGAACTTTCATTTCCGTTTAAGCCGTTTGTTTGTCAAAGAATCATAAAAGGAAAACCTGTGGTTTTTATTGCGTTTCACATATGAGTGAGATTATAATTCATTTGTATTGTTTGTTTGAATCTTTCCAGTGTTGTTAAAAACCTTAATTGATCAGTCTGTTTTGAGATATGTGGATTTCATGTAAATCGCCTAAATATTTTGTTAAGTCACGAGCATCATAAACAGAGTTGGATGCTAGCTTGCAGTGGAATCCAGGACTAGCGTTTCATTTTATTCGAGACTGGCCAGCCGAATGTACTCGCTTCGGAACTCGAATCATATAGCACCTGCTTCAGATACCATTGCGTTATCCATTCAGCTTAGTGAACTTCAACTTTGAAATGTAGGTGCATCGGACTGACTAGTCTCAACTAGTGCGAAATGCGTCTCCTGGGTCCCACTGCTAGCGACCATTTAACTCTGCTTATAACAAGTGGATTATGTTTAAATACTTATGATAGAATTAATATTCTCAATAGTTTGAAACCAGTCTCAATATGTAAGGTCTAAAAGTTGTAGACTTTTATTAGTTGTGTCAAAAGAAGTGTTTTATATTATCCAAACGTTTTTACTATACATTTACGAATGAAGTTGAGGTCAGTAGTCCTGGCCATTGACTGATGTGAAAGTAGATTATTTAGTAATTTATTTTTTATAGTAGTTAATTAACTGATCTAAAACCGTTTTAAATTTCAAAACTTTGCAATCAGTCTGGTTGTACTAAAGAACAAAGTTTATTGGACTATTAGATAGTGAATGATAAGCAAATATCTGGATATCTCTATTTGTAATTTTCAAACACCAAACTACACTTAGGTTATTGTAAACTATCAGTTACTTATCTACGACTGCTAGTTAATATTAAAGGCATCTATTCTTTGTATCATTCATACAAAAATATTTGGACTACGCGGCAGTTCGTTCTGTTTTACTTTACGGCTGCGAAACGTGGTCATTAATTATTATTATTATTATTATTATTATTATTATTAATGGCTTTATTCAATATTATAGTTTTGGTACAATATAGAGTAGAAGACACTCGGAAGCTACTAGTATTTGACCACAAATGCCTTACAAATATTATTGGCGTCTGCTGGGATCACCAGATAAGTACAAGTGAGGTTAGACGCAGAGTATTAAGGAATGATAGCAAATCAATTGATGAGGTTGTGAATCCTCATCGACTGAGATGGTTGGGCCACGTGTTACGTATGCCTGAACACCGATTACCACGACATGCAATGCTAACCGGTGTTGGAGGTGGTTGGAAGAAAGTTAGGGCCGGCCAAACCAAAATGTGGCATCAGTGCTTGAAGTCACTAACTTATAGTCTTAGCCATGTTTGTAGATGCAGACTACTTGGTCGGGGTCCGCGTGAATATCGTAACCAATGGTTGTAGACCCTGGGTGACATGGTTCAGAATCAATCACAACGGTGTAGGTGTATACACTCTTTGTCTTCCCTTAAACTAAGAGACTAGAATTGCTTCATATCTTTCTTTCTACAGACTAATTCTTTCTTCCTATACTAAACCTTTATATGCAATCTTTCTTTTATATATTACTACCATTGAATTGACTACTTCTATGAATCCAGTTTTCGCATTGCTGTGCTAATAAGGTAAGATAACTTGGGCTGATGCATATATGTGCGTGGTCTTACGTTGTAGCTGACTGACTGACTTATTATTGAGATATAAAAAGGGATACTTCTATCGTAATATTCATGTAATATGATGAAGATATTTATTATAAAGATAATCGATTCTTACAGTCTTTTGTATATTGTTAGATAGATACTTACGGAGCATATTTTTGGTGAGATTTTACACGTTCTCATAAGCATAAAATTGTTTTTAATGCGTTTTTCCAATTGCTTCGAAATGCGTTTGTTTAAACATTTGTAAACACATAAATTCGTCCTGTGAGTTGATTTCTGTTTAAAGTAGCATAATGTATGATGTGAAAGTTCTTTCCTCTACGCGTCATTTCTTTTTATGTTTTTTTTCAGTCAGAAAAGTTTTTCACACAATCGCCTAGACAAGAAACTAGTTTATCTAGTCGTACAATAACAACAACAACAACAACAAATAATACTACACATAATCATTGTAAATCTACTGAACAGAGTATTGATGACTTGTCCAGTCGTGCTAAGGCGTTATCACTTCATAGTTTCCCTTATCTCGTGAAAAGTTTAGAACTTAGAACTTCTAGCTTACATGAGCATAAAGCTAGACAAATGAGACAGGCAGTTGGAAGACGTATTTATTCAGATGCTGAACGTAAAAAAGCCTGTGATCTACGTCGAAATAAAGAAGATTTAATTTTATCGGAAAGCATTAAAGGTGATACAATAATCTTGTTTTTTCAACCCGACATTCTTTTTTTCAGTCTTTTCTACTGTTGTTTTATAAATCCACTTCTTAAATTAAAAGGCTTGACAGTTTGTGGTTAAAGTTGACCAAAGACTATTTGTGATAATAATGCAAATGTAATTTAATATATAAGCTAACTAGTCTTACTAAATCACACAATAGGAAGTGAGAAACATGAAAGCGGAAGGCTTAGAGGATTGAGTTGAAGAGAATAGAAGGGAAAATAGGAAGGAATTGTGAACTGGAAGAATCATGTGGAATGTAAAGGATAAATGGTGAAAATTTGGAAGTGAAGTATTCAGTGTATCGTTCTCATGTTTTACCAAGATATTTCGTAAGTTTGTGTTAGAACTACAATCGGTTGTCCCCACACGTAATCTCGTTCACAAAAGGTCTATCCAGGGGAATTAGGAAACTGTAATATCTGACTAATGCCACACAAGGATTCCTAATTTTAAGGATACGAGTGAAGCACGAACCAACCTTAAATACCGGACATCATGGGAGTTTGTTTCTTATCGTTAATAAACTATGTCATTTTCAAATTTCACCAATATCAAAGAAACGCTGAATTTGGTGCTAATAAGCATTGTATAAGCTTGTAAATTCATTTCACGCTAAGATAAAAGAGGAAGAGATAATTGGTTGGGAATTTTAAAGAATTTAATGTCTCCATATATTCTTTAGCCTTGGTTTCTCCTATTGTCAAGGCTTTAATTACTGAACTAATTTTGTTTGTCAAATTGGTAAAGCATCATCCATCAGCTTGATTTCATTATACTAATTTTAGTTGTGGAGTAATCGTTAAAAGTCAGCTCAAGTTTATGAGTTCGTCAAACTGTCTTCTCCTTATCTAAAATTTCGAAATTATTTCTGGTAATCCGTTGATTGAATCGCAGTTTATTTTTGTCTAAAACACCATCAGTAATTAAGAAATGATAAAATAGATTTATTTGATTCTAATGGAAATTTCATGGACTTGTGTCGTCGAAACCAACTCAGAATCTTAAATCATCTACTCTTCGTAAGTAACAGCGCATGATATTATAATTCTCATGTTATGTTTATAATGATGTTATCACGTATCACCAACAATTGACAGTGATTATAAAACTGTAAGGTCATCTACCTGGGTATAATTTTACATTGATATGATGTGGTTATTTATTTACTGAAACACATAAACATTGGTACAAGGAGGCACCAAACATATATGCATCACACTTCACCATTCGATTTGCATGAGGGCTGGAATAATGCCCTAACGTCCAAACCGAGGCAGGTGGTTTTCTTCAGCGGTCACTCATCAAACCTTTGATCTAAGGGTATAATTCACAAATCAGTGGAGCAACGTCAGGAGATGCAGTCCTGTGGTAGTCAGTGACCAAGGATGGGTGCATACGCCATTTGTCCCCTCAAGATCCTGGAAACTACGGGTACCAGTGGTTTGGAATCAGGCTTTCCCAACTGTCCTAAGTGTATCCTCTATACCCACCAACCCGGTTAAAGCTCTAGACATTCGCCTTTAGCCCTCCCAATTCCGTAAACGACACCCTCATCGAGAGCATGCAGTGAATAGGACTTCCTTGGCAGTGGCTGTATATCCGTGGCCACCCCACCCTTAGCCATGCATTGATACAGATTTTCGTCAGTTCCAAATAAATTCTCCCCTTTTTTTAAAACCCAGTTATCACATACTTACGTCTAAAAAAGCTTTTTGAATTCCATTGACATGGTATTTTATCCTGAACCCTATTTATAAAGATGAAAAATCTTTATTATCGCTTCTTGTTTATTTTTTTTTAGCTAAAGCTGAAAAACATTTTCTTAATGTAAAATCTAATAAAACTTTTAAATCATCTAATTATTTGGAGAGAAATTCAACACAACTTATGTCTACTAATAGGGATAATTTGAAAGTAAATGATCATAGCAACTCAATTGATGAAAACAAACTCAATAATAATTCGAATCAAACAATTAAGTGTAATTATAAAGATAATGAAGTTTTTTATTCAAAAGATACAAATTTGTCCGATACCATAGATACTAAAGAGATGTAAGTCAATATGAAGTAAACTATTTAGAAAATTTTTTATTTAAGTAGTCATTTATGTCTGATTTAATCAATTCAATCATTGTAATTTGTTTCAATTATAATGCAATAGTTTAAGAATCTTTTTTGATTGAGATCATGAATCGATTGATGTTAGATCACCATTGAAAACCTGGAACTACTGGACGGCGCGAAACTGAAGGCTCTGGGTTCGAATCCCGTAGGCAGGATCGTAGATGCGCACTACTGAAGAGTCCCACAATAGGACGAAAAGGCTGTTCCGTGCTTCTAAGTTTTCAGTGGTGGTCCAGCATTAATCGGTTCATGATCTCAATCAAAAACTTAATAACCTCCACAACCCCTATAAGAGTTTTAGAATCCCCATAAAATATTCAAAAATGAAGAATATTTGAGCAAACAATTGTTTTCAATAACTTCATTGTCAGCCTCTACAGTTATAAGTTCATAGTTGTTAAGATATTTTCCAAAATAAGGCATGTATTAATGAATTTGACAATGTTCTATATTAAAAATGATGAACTTTTGCATCTGTTACATCATATATATGCTTCAAAATTGTGTTATTTGCAAATTAGATAGGTCATTTAATATAGTCCTGAATGATTTGGAGTAAAGTGTCCAGTCACAATCAGTAGAATATTATTATAGCAAGAATGAAAATGCAAAAATCGCGTGAATAAAATGTATTTCATCTTGTCAACTGAGATAATAATAATATTGTTGTGTGAATATAATATGTAATAAGACGGGTGTTATCAAGGTAATTACGATAAACGGATTGGAAATGATGGATGTGGAGATTAAGAAAAAAGGACAGAAGTGAGAGGTTTATAATATTCAGTTTAGGTATCCGGTGATACAGTCGTAGGTCAAAATAAACATAAAAGCTGGATATACCTTTTCTATATACATAAGTTTGGTTTTCTGGAGTTGATCCAGATGGCTTCGGCTATGTAGAATAACAGTAATCTAGCTCCATGAGGTAGATTTTTTAGAACTTGATATAAGACAGAGAAAGCTTAATCTATTTTCATATGATGTTCACTATCTGCCAAGTGAGAAATGGTAATGCTGGTGATATATATATATATATATATATATATATATATATATATATATATATATATATATATATATATATATATATATATATATATATATATATATATATATATATATATATATATAATTCTTTTCATAGTATTATTATCAGTAAAAAATAAGTAAACCCTTCAATGTTCATTCATATTCTCACTTGTTGGTAGATAGTATAGTGGAGGAAATGCCTAATATAACTAGGATATATCATTTGCTTATAACAAGTAGTCTATTTTTGTAATTGAACTATCCATTTCATAAGCAGACGTTGACTGCTACTCACTAGTTCGATATTGTAATATAACATCAAATATATTAGACTTATACTTAGATAACGTTACAATGGATACACAACCATTCATATTATATTGTTATCTGCTACAATGCATTTTCTTACACCAAAGCATTTGATTTATCAAACAGATATGCTGAATTGTTGATAGGGCAAATGATTCCACTCGAATCATATAATATTTATTTGTCTTCAAATACTATATGTCTAGCATATTTAAAGTTCATTTTGAATATTTTTTAAAGCAACTGACAATTTGTTAACTAAAGTATGTATATAGTAAATCGTTCGTAAGCACATCTTCGGTTAACTAATGCTTAACAAATTGAAACTTTATGCAGCTATTTTCCATTGACATTTATTCCACGATTTGCTACAGAGGTTTCGTAAATAATGGGACAAATGCCAAAGTACCGTATGAAGAAACGTTGTTAACTTGGCTAACTTTAATAGGTTTCTAGTAATTAATACCACACTTTTGATTAATTAAACGAAATTAGATAAAAGGTTTAATTTTAAGTTTGTTACGGTTATGACCCAGCTATTCTTATTGCTTAGTATTCTCGTACACCAATTCACTCGACAAGTCCCCAAATCAGAACACAGTTGAACAGGAAAGAGATTATATTCCAAATAACAAGGTTTGATGGAAGTAAGACGCAAGTAAGAAGCACAATAGGGAAAACGTTAGTACATTTATAGTTTTTAAATGAGAAGATTCTAGAGTGTTCTCCAACTATCGACTAGTGCTGATTGGATAAGAATTAGCCAATCAGCGTGCAGCAAAGCAATTGTGCATTGAGCATGATTTAATCCACTTATTAGTAGCATTTACCTGCCTAAAAATCTAAACATTTAAAAGGGTCTAATTACCTATCCTTCTACTATCCAAATAGGTCGATATACATTATATAGTAAGCCGTATATCTGACAAACAATTACTGAAATTAGATCCCTAGTTTTGAAATCACCTCATACTTATTATTCCTTGGATTCATTCTTCCTACTCGAATCATACTGTCCATGTGTAATTTTTCTACCACTATTGATACTGTCACTACCTCTACTATTCTGAGACAAGTTTTAACTCTCTTATTTGGCCATAATCATATGGTGTGTCGACTTGAACAGTTGCATATGTGCCAGGTTCTACGTTGATTATGGCTGACAGATGCAGAGGCAAATAAGCTGCACGAAATGGTAGTAACATGGTTATCAACCTTTAGACCAATTAACTAAGTGTTCATTTACTATACCACACTTCTACGCCTATATTTGCATTGATTCACTGTATTACTACTTTGTTATTTATGCTTGTTGAGCTTAGAGCAGCACAGTTCTAGAAGTCATCACTAAACCATTAAAGGTTTGACTGACTTCTATTAGGGCTGAATTTAATGGGATATAAATATGTAACTGTAATAGCTTAACAGTAATCTCTTTAAATTTGATTCTGAACTATTTGGACATAAAATGGGCCTTTCATAGGATAAGGAGGAAATATTCTTCACTGTAAACACATATTATCATAACTGTTTAAATTCCATTTAGTCTGTTTGGAAATACATTGTAATGCTACTACCAACGATCAATATTTGCTGAAAAAAAGCGGATTCTTAAACAATCGTTTCGGTAAATTTAAAATGAATAAAAAGTCATTATTCTTAAAAATTCAGATCTCACAGCTTATTATTCTTGTCTAATATCAATCTGTATTGTTAACTGCGGAATTTAACAATTTTCGCAAACCTCGTTTAGTCATAAAAATTCATTATCCAACCACAATAAACCAGTTCATGTTAGTGAAGGACGATTATCTAGTGAAATCAATAGAGATTTTTTATTACATCCAAAATACTTAAGTCTACAGGTTACGCCTTCTCATTTAAACTTACGAAGCTCTAGATATGTAACATTCATCTTCATTTACCCTTTTAGTGGCCTGATATCTGTCTCCAGTCAGATTGTTTCTGATGATTGTTGCCGAAATATACATGCCGACAATCGCGTTAGTGAATAACGGAATGAAACGAGCCAAACACGAGAATGAATTTTGAATACGTTTATTTCATACAACCGTGACGCGCATCGATGTAGCGAGTGAGCCAACTCGTTTTGATCAAGCGTAACTCAGTATTTATATTCAGACAAAAATAATTTAGATATGTAATGAATAGAATGAGCAATTGACGAGCACGATCATGTGAAAGCGGCCACGATTATTAAGCGAATAATTGACAAGGTCAAAATATGGCTTAAGAAGGAATAAATTGGTATGTCTAGAATCTAGAATGCCTATGTGGGCTTAACCTAGTAGCAGCGACTACAACCTGGAAAAATATAAATAAACGTGCTAGGGCATGATCTTAGCATTCTTCCATTAGAAGTGACCACCTAAACATTACTACCGACCAAATATTTCATGCATTCCAATTTATTATACCCAATCTGACTCAGTGTATTTATTGTCAAAACTAGTTACTAGAATATTTTATTCCATTGGTTAAAACGTTTTTATATTTTATAGAAGTCTGGAAAAACCCGAACGTGATGGTCATAATGGCGAAATGCTTTCCTTATGGTCTCGCTTATCTAATCGTCTGAATAATAAAATCCCACCGCTTTGTCTCTGCATGGAATATTCTCGCCATGATATTGATGAAGCCCCACCATGGCTGAAATGTGCCAATAATTGTAAATTTTATCATAATCCAGAAGGTATGAGCAAGGATTCATATTTTTCAACTTGATCTGTTGCTCTCGGATTGTCATATCACTCTACATGTTGAAGTAACTAATGAGCATATTCTCACGTGCCAACTGACTACAAACGGTAATCAGTGATTATTATCTTGAAATGCTATGACCTAAAAATCTACGGTAATCACACTTATCAGATCTGTGTTCTGCCGAACACATGCCGTCCCCTTCAATAGGAATGTTCACAAATAGTTAATTTGCAAGTACAGATGTTTATATTGATGTATCCTGATAAAAATCAAGTAATTTTCCCTAATTATTACTGAACTGGTAGGAAATTAACACGCTTACTTACGCCTGTTACCCCTCGTGGAGGAGCATAGGCCACCCCTTACATTTACATCGCATCCTCCGTATTCATCGATGGTAATTTTGGGCTATAGTTCGTCGTATAAATTTCAAATAATGTTGTCGATTTCCTCAGCTACTTCATATTGTTGAGGAAGGTTCCATAAAGTTCTATAGTCGACACTATCTAACACCTCATAGTCAATGAAGTTGATGCATGGTAACGAGTTCTACTCAACTGATTGTTCAACGACGATCCATATTGTTGCAATTCGGTCTGTGCACGACCGATCCTTACGGGATCTGGCCTATTGATCTCGAAACTGGAAACCTACTGAGTCTTTCATCCAGTTCAACAACATTGTTGAAAACTTTTCCTGGTACTGACAGTAGTGTGAATCCTCTGTAATTCTAACATTTGCTCAGATTTCCTTCCTTTGGTGTCTTGATGAGATGTCGTTCTTTACAGTCTGTCGACACTTGTTCTTCCTGACTAGAACGTGAAGTTACTTCTATGTCTAACTTCGGTGGTTCAGGTGGTATATAGTCGAGTCCTGCTGCTTTTCCACTCTTGATTTGTCTGATGGCCATCCTGATTTCTTCGATCGTTGGTGAAGTGGAATCTATAGGAAAGTCTGTAGGTGGTGCTTCGATGTCCAGTGGGTTCTTTGTAGCTGGCTTATTCAACAGGTCCTCGAAGTATTCTACCCATCTGTTTCTCTGTTCTTGAATCTCGGTGATTGTCTTGCCTTCTTTGTCCCTGATCGGTCTCTCTGGTTTACTGTAATTCCTCACCAGTTTCTTCGTTGTATCATGCACTTGTCTTATACTTCCTTCTGCTGCAGCTTTTTCTACTGTCGTTGCTAGGTATTCCACGTATTTCTGCTTGTCAGCTCTAATGCTCCTTATCACTTACTTGTTTACTTCTGTGTATTCGGCTTGTGCCTTGACTTTCTCTGTTCTTGTTCGGTTTTTCTTGACTGCTATCTCTCTGTTCTTCCTTTCTTGAATCATGTCTAGGGTTTCGGTAGAGATCCATTCCTTATGATGATGATTCTTGCGATCCGGAACCTCCTGATATGGTGCCTTTCCAGTTGTCCTTTATCGTTGTTTGTTCTTTTTTGAGTAGATCCTGTAAGGCTTGGAGCCTGTTGTTGAAAGTTATTTTGAATTCGTTGAGTTTGTCAGTATGTCGAAAGAAGGCTGTACTAAACCTTTGTAATACTGTTCCTCCAGTTGTACAGTGTTTCCTTATCTTCACTTTCATCTTGGCCACAACCAAGTGATGATCAGAAGCTATGTCAGTTCCTCTACTGGTTCTCATTTCTTCGCTTATCCTTCGGAATTTTTTATTAATGCAAATATAAACGACTTTGTTTCCCGTTGTGTGTTCCGGTCAGACTCGTGTAGCTTTGTGCCGCTTATAACCAGATATTTGAATACACGTAGAATTGCAAATCTCTACGCATTTTCGTTTCTGTCTCCCAGTCCATGTCTTCACTACCGTTGTTATCCGTTCTAACTTCGTCGTTAAGATCTCCCATTAAGATGGTAAGGTTGTTTCCTGGACATCGGGGCATGATCGATTGCAGCCTCTCGTAGAACTAATCTGTATCGTCATCATTCTTATCATTAGTCATTGCATAACATTTATTACAATCGCCTCATTCTTTGTTTTGAAGACCATGGGTTCGTGACATGCCCATCCCATTCTTTGGACAGCATCAGAGCAACTCTTTGAATGTATGGAGCATTTTCTTCATCGTGACCAGAGTACATCAGCACTTCTCCTGAATCTAATATCTTCTGTCCAGCTTGTGTCCAATGTGTTTCACTGATTCCGAGCATCGCAAAGATGGCCCGGTCTCCAACATTGTCCGGACATCCCATGTACCTATAAAAATTGTTGTTCTGGTTGTTAAAAAGGACTTCGGTCTCGTGACTTCCGAAGACTCTTGGCTTTCATCATTGGACGTCATAATTCTTCCTTCAACTTCCAGGGTAGAGTTTAAATGGTTTAATTTGTTTAATCTGATTAGCGTTTTTAACAAGGTTGTTTCCTACGGGATCGGTTTGCCGCCACCATACCCAACATTCCTCCTTTACCCGGGCTTGGGACAGGCAGCAACTCTGGAAGAACTACAGAAAAAGTTAAATTGACACGTGTTGTTTGATAAATACCTTTGGTTGCTGTTTTATCCTAGTAAAGATTAAATTACGAGCAACTCCGCCCGAAGTCCCTTCGGGGGCTACTGCCGGTTGGGCATGGGGTTAGCGTCCCCATCCCGTAGAAAACTAACTCGCTAAAAAATGCTAACCACAAAAAAATTATTCAAACCTTTTAAACTCTGCCCCGGGAGTCAGAAGGTCTTCATTTAAAAGAACTATGACGCCTCATGATGAATGCCAAATTCCTTCGGAAGTTACGAGGCCGATGCCCCTTCTGACAACCAGAGCCACTATTTATTTAGGCACATGGAATGTTCGTACAATGTGGGACGCCGGGAGAGCCTTCCAAATTGCTGCAGAAATGAGGAGATACAACCTAGAGGTGCTTAGGATCAGTGAAACACATTGGACGCAAGTTGGACAGCAACGACTAGCTTCAGGGGAGCTTCTGTTATACTCCGGCCATGAAGAAGAAAATTCCCCACATACACAAGGAGTTGAATTGATGCTGTCCAAACAAGCGCAAAATGCGATTATAGGATGGGAATCTCATGGACCAAGGATCATCAAAGCCTCGTTCAAAACAAAGAAAGAGGGTATTTCATAGAACATCATCCAATGCTATGCGCCTACCAACGATTACAATGAAGACGCTAAAGATCAATTATACGATAGGCTGCAGTCAATCATCGAGAAGTGACCCACAAGGACTTGACCATTCTGATGGGAGACTTCAACGCCAAGGTTGGAACGGACAACACTGGATATGAAAACATCATGGGACGACAAGGACTGGGAGAAAGGAACGAAATTGCTGAGAGATTCGCAAACCTATGTGCCCTCAATAAACTGGTCATAGGCGGTACCATACTCCCATACAAACGCATTCACAAAACCATATGGACTTCACCGGATCACACCACGCAAAACCAAATCGACCATATTTGCATCAACAAATCGTTCAGGAGGACTATAGTGGATGTGAGAACCAAGAGAGGAGCTGATATAGCCTCAGATCATCACTTGCTGGTTCCAAGATGAAATTGAAACTCAAGGAGCACTGGACAATGGGGCGGACAATATCAAAAAGTTCAATACGGCCTTTCTTCAGGATACTAACAAACTCAACAAATTCAAGATAGTCCTGAGCAATAAGTTCCAGGCCTTTCATGATCTACTCAATGGAGAAGGAACTACTATGGAGAGCAACTGGGAGGGGATCAAAGAGGCAATCACTTCAACATTTCATGAGGTTCTGGGTCACAAGGAATGGATCACTGTTGATACACTGGATAACATTCAAGAAAGGAGGAACAAGAAAGCAGCAGTCAACACCAGTCGAACAAGAGCAGAAAAAGCCAAGGCACAAGCTGAATACACAGAAGTAAACAAACAAGTGAAGAGGAGCATCAGAACCAAAAAACGTAAATATATGGAAGATTTAGCGACGACGGCGGAAAAGGCTGCAACAGAAGGAAACATGAGACAACTGTACGACAAAACAAAGAAACTCTCTGAAAATCGCCGCAAACCAGAACGACTAGTGAAAAGCAAAAAAGGCGAGGTAATCACCAACACTGAAGAACAACGAAACAGGTGGGTAGAACACTTGAATTGACCAGCCCCACTGAACCCACCCAACATCGAAGCAGCACCCACGGAACTCCCAACCGATGTTGGCCCACCAACAATTGAAGAAATCAACATGGCCATCAGACAAATCAAGAGTGGCAAGGCAGCAGGACCAGACAACATTCCAGCAGAGGCAATAAATGCAGGTGTAGAGGGAACTGCAAGGATACTCAACATTCTCTTCAAAAAGATTTGGGATGAGGAACAAGTACCAACAGACTGGAAAGAAAGACTTCTGATCAAGATACCGAAGAAAGGCGACCTCAGCAACTATGATAACTACAGGGGTATCACTCTTCTCTCAATACCGGGAAAAGTCTTCAACAGGGTACTGTTAGACAGGATGAAGGACTGCGTAGACGCCCAACTTCGTGACCAACAGGCAGGATTCCGTAAGGATAGATCGTGTACAGACTAAATCGCAACTCTACTGATCATTGTGGAACAATCAATTGAATGGAATTCATCACTCTACATCGACCTCATTGACTACGAAAAGGCAATTGATAGCGTGGACAGAGCAACACTACGGAAGCTTCTTCGACACTACGGCGTGCCTCAGAAGATAGTCAATATCATACAGAATTCATATGATGAATTACACTGCAAAATCGTGCATGGAGGACAGTTGACAAAGTCGTTCGAAGTGAAGACCGGTGTCAGGCAAGGTTGCTTACTCACACCCTTTCTCCTTCTCCTGGTGATCGACTGGACCATGAAGACGTCAACATCTGAAGGGAAGCACGGGATACAATGGACATCTAGGATGCAGTTGGACGATCTAAACTTCGCCGATGATCTGGCCCTTCTATCCCAAACACAACAACAAATGCAGGAGAAAACGACCAGCGTAGCAGGAGTAGGGAAAAGCAAGATTCTCCGACACAACACAGGATGCACCAATCCAATCACAATTGACGGAGATTTGGAAGATGTAAAAACCTTTACATATTTGGGCAGCATCATTGATGAACACGGTGGATCTGATGCAGATGTGAAGGCGCGGATCGGCAAAGCAAGAGCAGCATATTTACACCTGAGGAATATCTGGGACTCAAAAAAACTATCAATCAACACCAAGATCAGGATTTTCAATAAAAATGTCAAGACAGTTCTACTGTATGGGGCAGAAACCTGGAGAACAACGAAACCCATCATCCAGAAAATACAGGTGTTTATTAACAGTTGTCTACGCAAAATACTTCGGGTCCGTTGGCCGGACACTATATTAGTAACAACCTACTGTGGGAGAGAACAAACCAGATCCCAACGGAGGAAGAAATTAGAAAGACGCGCTGGAAGTGGATAGGACACATATTGAGGAAAGCACCCAACTGCGTCACAAGACAAGCCCTCACATGAAATCCTCAAGGCCAAAGAACACATTACGCCGGGAAATAGACATGAGAAAAATGAACAAGAATTGGATGGAATTAGAAAAGAAGGTTCAAGGCAGAGTGGGTTGGAGAATGCTGGTCGGCGGCCTATGCTCCATTGGGAGTAACATGCGTAAATAATGTATATATATATATATACCGTATAGGTTACAATTAATTGAGTTCCGAATGTGCTAATAATAAGGCATTCATATTTGTCATATTGTGAGACAAGGCTTTTCTCAGGTCATGAAAATTCGAAAAAAAATAGACGTCAAACTAATTACAGTACGAATACTGTTACTACATTTCTTGTTGTCGTTTTAACGAAATCCTACCTTTCTGTTAATCCATGGTATATTTTCTCTTATCTTCACAGCTTTTCTCAAGGTGTTACTGGACTATATGCAGTCGCTAAACCTGTCATAAGGTCAAGAACAAATCCCTATCATATTAAACAGCTACATTCCGTGGAATTCGCAACTTTTGGATCACAGTCATCAGATTGTGTTGGCTGATTCTACTTGAATAAAAAAATAATTGGCTAGAAATGTCTTTGTTTTGAATTCACAAAAGCAGTTTAGGATTTTTAAGTTTATCCCCGGTTTTTATTTATTTTATTTTATTTATTTGAACACATAAATATTGGTACAAGAGAGCGCCAATAGATATGCGCCACACAAAACAATGAAAATTCGAAGAGAGATAGAAAAAAAAAACTAAGGACCACAAAAGGTAGTGTGGTCGTATCCCCGGTTCCATTTTACGAATCCCATTCGATTGACCGAGTGATCTTGTTAGTTAATAAGCGTACCCTACTAATCAGTAATATTATGATTGAATCGTACCTAAACTCTAAGGTGAGATCATCATTTATATTACACTTTAGAGCTGTTACGAGCCTAAAGTTCGTTAATCTTGAGACTGAAATAGTCTACATAATCTGAGCAATATATATTTAGTCAGTCATCATCAATACATAGGGTATATATTAGTCAGATTCGATAACGTAAACTGACATGATAATATCTGTATTACTAACTGCATCGACTAAAAATCAAAAGTTGACTACATACAAAATATAAGTATTTATTAAAGTACGAAAAGAATGCCAAGAATTATACAAGGTCTGAAACATTCATTGGCATTTCATCAATTTGTGTAGAGTAGTACTGTTCAATATCGCGTAAGATTTTTATATCATCCGTTTTTACAAAGTTAATCGCTACACCTTTACGTCCAAAACGGCCCGATCGACCTATACGATGGATGTAAAGTTCACGATTGTTAGGTAAATCGTAGTTTATGACAAGAGATACCTGTTGGACATCAATACCTCGTGCCCACAAGTCTGTTGTTATGAGGACGCGGCTGAAATGCAAACAAAATCAACAAGTGAATTACTAAAAGTCAATTTTACCGACTCGTATTTTTATACTTTTCAATAAAACAAGTGTTTAAAATAGTTGGTCTCTTTCATAATTTAGGATAATGTAAATGAAAAGACGAAGCTTGTCACAACTGTGATATACTAGCGCAATACATTTTTGAACAAACTGATCATACATATACTTATTAAGATATTTATATATGAAAAATAAAACTGGAAGAAAAAACGATGCAAAACACATTATACTGGATAATGAATCAATAGCATTAGACTATGTTCGAAATGTATTTGATTAATATATTTCATAGTTCTAATCAACTTCATCTCATTGAAATTGAAATTAGCCGCGAGGTGGATAGACACGAAATAAATAAACATGTAATCACAAGATGTTTGTTATTTAGAGGGACATAAAGAATACTTGCAGATTTTGAACCACTTCAACCAGTGAGTTAAAATATTATAAGCACTTGAATCATGTGATGTGGCCATTCTTGGTTTGATTAAACTCTAACACTGGGTATCCAGAAAGTGGGGCGGCGTAACAAGACCTAAGTATTCCTCAAAAGTTTAACCTAATACAGACTCATTATCTGATCAGAATCGCCCAACTTTAGAGCTGAAAACTCAATGTTTTCATTACATAAATGATGTTTTGGCAATTGCAAACGATTAACAGATGCTATCCTAGGCAGTTTATTCCAACAATAGACATGCAGATTACTCTGACTTAAGTGGATTGGAAAACATCAAACTGTTGCAACTCCTGGGTATAGATGCAGTTAACGCACAAATGGGTAGCCTCTCCGTACTTGGAGCAGACATTGTTGTCGGCCAATCTTCAGGTAAAACCAAACGCTAACTAAATATCCAAATATCTTTTATTAAAGCATCCAGGAGACTTCAAATTCTAAAAATGACCTAGCCTAAAACGACTATATCATGTATGGTAAGTAAATTAGTTTAATCAGATCAGTTTTGGATTATCTGAAGCACAAAATCGCTTATATTATTCCACCTATCGTGAAGCTGAGCAAGAGTAGCAGCTATGGAGACGTTTGGTCTACATTATATATATATATATATATATATATATATATATATATATATATATATATATATATATATATATATATATATATATATATATATATATATATATATATATATATGATAAACTATTTAGGTGGTGATGGGGACTTTTATGGTATAATACACTAGCTGATTATTGAAATGCTTTACAACTATAGTGAGTGATGACTGCTTACATTCAAATACGTTACCAGTTACCTATTTTTATCATAAAATGATTAAATGTTTTTAACTACTTAGCAAACCACTTCTACAGTAACTTAAAAGTGAAAATATTCGTATTATGCAAGAACCACAATTTCCATATTAAGTAGGATTTTAAAGTTATCTAAGTACTTGAGTAAAAACAGTATGGAGTCTGAAAATATCAGTAGAAAAATCGAGTACGTAGATTTGTACCACACTTTATGAACTACAGCAAAGCACAGGAATTGAAAACACCCATTAAAGGTGAAATAATCGACGGCATAACTAAGCTTGAGTGGACTCCACAAGGTACATTTTGATGTGGTATGACTAAGGTGTAAGCGCTTAAGAGATAAGATAACATATATTGCTTTATAAAGACTAGTGGATTTGGTCTTGATTGTAGTCTCAAGTTCAGAAAGAAACCAACTGATAACTTATGAATTTATATCAAGTATGAGTGCTTGAAACATATCTAGACACTGTCTACTTTGATGGAGTAGGCTGACTGGAAGATTATGTGCCCTTGAGTGAAAGGAATGCATGAATCCACGAAATCTATGACGTGTAAAGAACCATAGGCTTTCTCCCGGTCACAATTAGATGACTGTTATCCATGCCTGGAGAATAGATGATATATATATACACCCAGATACACGAACTTCTCGACTACGTCTATCTGCTCACCATCCAGGGTGAGTACAGGATTGGAATCCTGCCAGTCTTGTAGAAGTACTTTGCACTTCGAAGGTGCAAAACACATACCATACCTACGGACACTGATTGCCAACTGATTAAGTGCGGATTGCATGCCTTGGGCATTATCGCACAGTAAGACAATATCGTCCGCATACTCAAGGTCTAGAAGTCTTTCTCCAGGCAACAGATCCACACCACCATTACTTACATTCATCAGAGCTGTTGCATGACAAATGATGAACTATTTATGCTAAACTGAACACTCAGAACAGTTTCGAAAGACAGAATGGGAAGGTATACATGGAAGGACGCTGGAACTTAAGATTTAGAAGACAGAGTGAATGCATTAGCGCCATTGTAACCGATGTGGTAAAGCTCGTAACTTAACTAAACTACATGTAAATATAAGTTTATGATGGCAATTTTAAAGTGTTTAAAATGTAAAAAATAAATATGCTGAACAACCAGGATACTTTGAACATACCTATCCCCAGCTCGAAAATCTTTCATAATTTCTTCTCGCTCTTTCTGAACCATATCACCATGCATAGAAGCCACAGTGAAGTTGTTTTTGAGCATTTTCTCCGTCAACCATGCAACCTTACGTTTAGTATTGCAGAAAATAACAGACTGAGTGACAGTGAGCGTATCGTATAAATCACAAAGAGTGTCGAATTTCCATTCTTCTCGTTCTACTGCCACAAAGAATTGCTTTATGCCTTCCAGAGTTAATTCATCGCTGTAAAATATCAGAAACAAGAGTTATTTATTTGAACACATAAATATTGGTACAAGGGGGCACCAAATATATATATGGAGCCCCCAAATGCCCTGGTTAGAACAACCATAATCCCAACAAGAAAACAAACTTATATCAAGATGTTTACACATGTGATGTTTCAAAACAGTGATGCACTTGAGTGACACGCATTAAAAATCATGGTACATAATTTTACTAATAAAGCATATATATTTCATAAAAGTGAAACGTCGAGTAACAGTAAATCTGTTCATCGAAACCGGTTTAATTACAAAGAGTAGTATCCTACCCACTATTGTGAGCATGTAAAAGTCACAATCGTTTCTGTTAATTACAGTTGATGAATTTCATTATACAGTGAAAAGAACTCAAACCGAATATCTAGGTGTTGTTATGATTCAAGATTGACAAATTATTAAGCTTTTATCTTATATATATATAATCGATCAAGAAAAGTGACTGATGAGATTCAAATGTACCAAGTTACCATGTAACGGTGAAAGGTACCAGTTGACTTTACATACTTGAAAAAGCAGTTGAGCTACAAAAAAAAGATTAAACAGTAATTACACATGCGAGAAGCCTTTTCAAGTGTCATCTCATTACTTACCCTATACTGTTCGCCTTCAAGTAAATAAATAACTTCAGAGGAAACAGAACAATACTCATAGAGTAAGATGACTTTATTCTACATTGCTAGCTTATTATCAATTACATACAATCGCTGTATAGAACTGAACAAAAAAATACAGATTTTACGAGTCTCGGAATGTAAAATGAAGTAGGCTTACAGAAACAAGAGACGAAATGTTTTGTAGCCATATTTAGCAGTCTTTTTGATCATCACAGCAGTCTGATGGAATCTATACTAATTTACCTCAATTATTGAGTGGAACTGCTAGCCCTCATCCCGATTGTAGCTGCTACATTGATGTAGTTGTCAGCTTTGCCTATCGCGGCGACCCAACCGAGTCATATTGGCTGAAACATATTCCTTTAGGTTCCACCCTGGAAGACGAGTTGGCTGGAGAACGGTAAGAGCAAAAGCAGCAACTTAAGGTCCGATCACCGTCCATTTATGGCAAAGACCAACTTTAATCAGAAGGAAAAACAATATCTGACGTGACGACCTTCGAAATCTACTAAACAGTGGACACAAATAGACCACATTACCATCAGCCATCGCTGGAGAGGCTCGATAGGAGACCGTCGCTTATTTTGGAGCACATGTTTGGACTCAGGTCATGCCTTAGTTTAAGCACCTACTTGTCTTTCTTACTGGACGTAGAAAATCCACAACAAGAAAACCAGTTAGAATCTAGCTTAATGATGAAAAAGTCAAGAATGTATTTCAGGAACAGAGAAAAAGTTAGTCAACCGTGAAAGTCATACCCACTTAGATGTAGCTTGGAATGATA